GTATGGCTGTGTATTGCCCTGTTTGGCTGTGTATAGCTGTGTATAGCTGTGTATAGCTGTGTATAGCTGTGTATAGCCTTGTATAGCTGTGTATAGCTGTATCTAGTCTTGTTTAGCCCTGTATGTGTGTAGGGTATTGTATGTAAAGTATAGGACATAATATGTATTTAGTACATAATATGCGCCCATACATGAAGTACCTACCTGCAGTTTACAATGTGACTTCCGCTTTTTCTTGTTGACGCGTACTCACAGTGTACTCGAGTGTTAGGAAGTTCGCGTAGTGCGTCTGAGCCAGTTTCTGCCAGATTTGAACAGAAAAACAGGTCCTTTGTTGGACTGTAATGATACTTTGATCGATGGCGCTGTTAACGAAATGTTTGGCCGGTTCGTAAGTTGTCAACCTGGTTTCGGTCGATCTGATTGATTGGCAACACCTCTTGGAAATTCTACACACCATCGACCTAAGCCTCATAGCTGCCAAGTGAGCAGAAGAACAATGACATCAAAATACTCGAGAAAGATAAGTATTAATTTTAATTGCATTTGTGTTAAACTTATATGTACAGAAATTTCAGAAGAGGTACTTAATCAGAAGTTTATCACATGATAAGCCTTCAAACTTGTATTAATTAAATTGATGTACATATTTCACAATTTTAAGATGATTGTGTGATGACAATACACCGACGGTCAACATTCGAATATTCAGCTTGGGCTTCCTCCTAAATGTTAAGTATTTCAATTTGAACTTGTAGAATATAACCTATGGATTAAATGTGGGTCTATAAGTATCATCCATTAAATTCTTGCAGGCAATTTTCATCATGATATTAAAGCACCATAAACTCAAGAACAAGGAAAAATAAGTCACGCAGAAAACTGAGTTAGGCAGAAAACTGACGGAGAAATTCATAGTTTTCATAATTTTGAATTTATTCATAATTTTGAATTACAAATCATTCAGACCATAGCCATAGAATAATTGCTTTATTATTTATTCATTTAAAAAATTACACAACCTCATCCCCAGGTTTTCCTGGTCAACGGTTCAATAACCTGGAGCCGGCTGCTTTTGATGTCATTGGTTCAATATGAGAAAATTTTTTCCAAATTTGGTCAACAGCAGCTGGTTATGATGAAATATGTGAGTGGTTTTAACCTTTCAGAAACAGGGAAATATTTTGAATGAACAATAATGCAAATTATACCAACATTGCTATCGGCAGTCCTCTGGTAGGGCTTTTCAGTAATAGTTACAGAATGTTATAATTACAGAGTACTGAACACTGTATTTTTTAAGAAAATCCATTTAAAAAGTCCATGACAGCATTCCATTAAAACAGTGCCAGTGGAAATCCCTCTCCGATAAAATTGTGATATTATAGTCTTGACGTTGAGTTTGAAGAATGAGTGCCAGTGTAGCTAAAAGAAGCTTTACATGTAGTACATTAATTTTTATTGGTCTTTTGTTGTAATGTATAATCTTTATTCATTCTTTATATATATTCGACATAACAGTGGAAGCAGCACAGTCTACAGTAGACTGATGATCTGTGTGAAGTTAAGTCACCTTAAATTCCCCACCAAACTTCAGTTTCCTGATTCCAAAAAAAATTTAATTGATGGCCAAGTACTTACCCTCCCCATGGGGTGAAATAAGTGATCCGTAGGTTTAGGAAGTAATATGTAAATACGCTCCTCTGTAGCTATTGTTTGCTTCTTTTCTGACTCTAGGGATGTTCTCAGAAATTTTGACATTGTCTCCCTTCTACTCTTTGTGTTCTCTGAAATCTAACGATACAATGTTTTAATTAAAATAATATTTGAAAAATTGGTTTCTAAAATATTCACTCTGTTTCCATTACAGGTAAATTTGTTTCAATTCTGCACAACAAAATGTCCAGGTTGTCTTATCATATGTCCACTTCACCTACATGTAACACAAGGCCCATTAGGATTAAGCACCCTTTATTAGGCTAGTGATCATTCATGTTAATGGTAGTGCCCCCTGAACCCTTATTCAATAATTAAAATAAACTGACCTTATTTTCAGGATACTTGATTATTTTCCTTAGGTGGATCTTTGCTGGACAGTCACATTTCTTCGTATCCTGTACTATAAAGCGCTGTTTGGTGTTGTTATAGCAGTGATCAGCATTCTCCTTCTGAAACCAAATAGATTTATTGGATTGTTAGATAGAGCAGTCATATGGGAAGAATCAAGTTATCAATAAACTCAGAAGTAATGAAAAGTATCCTTTAAAATAATACTTGATTCCTACCTTGTAAACTGCAGTCACAGTGGTCCTTTTTTGCGACTTTGCTTATTTTAACAAATAAAATGTGATATGTCCTTTTACTTGCAAGTGGTAAAAAAGAAAACATTATTGCCTGCTATTAGCCCTGAGGGAGAGGTCCAGAAATTTCTTCCACTATTTCCGCTAAAATCATAACCTTTAAGTACAACAAATCAGCACATTAGTAATTGTTATCAGGGGTCTGAAAATCCTATAAATCTTTCACATTTATTTCAAGTAACCTTTAATTTCACATGGATGAATAAGTATACACTCAAGATGCAGAATGTCTTACATTTTACAAACTATTTCCCTTTTTATGGAGAGACAGTGAAAGGCCTTTGCCACATTGGTGAATCAAACCACTGTATACCATGCATTTTGTGATAATTGTTTGTTTTTGCTCACAATACCCAGAAAAATGGAGGGGATAAATTTAAATAGCAAATTCTATGGTTAAAATTAAATAACATTGGAAGATCAAATTAACTTTTTACTGTTTAAAATTCAGTTTTGGTTTCTTGCTTATTCCAGCCTCTTGATATTCAAAAGCATTCCTTGTCATTTTTGTGTTCTTCTGTATACATAACTTGAAAAATAAACACAGAGAAAGGAAACCACAAAGGATTAAACTTGAAGCTAAAGCAAAGTTTAAGTTGAGCCATAGCTGATCCAAATACTGAGCACTTTGTATTGTAACCCATTTAGCAGTAAAGTTTATCTATATGTCTGCCAGCTTGTCACAAGTCTTACCCCTCTCGTTCAAAAGTCTCTATAAATAAATTTTTCTTTGTGGTCCCTAATTGATGATAAGTATATTACAGCTCCTCAATTTTCCTCTCTCAAGACAAGGTTACTCTAAATTTAACAAAGTAATGGACTTGATAAAACTCAAACTATAACTCAGCTGGCTGCTACTTGCAACCTTAATTTCTAGATATCAGTATACAATAATCAATATGTTATAAATAAGAACCCTAATGCTTAATTTTGCAGTGATCACCTTCCTCCTTTTCATTTGCAGACCAGACTGGAACCTCTATAGGTGTGTTTGCTTGTTTTGAGTGGGGATGGAAGAAAAGGAGTCATGCCGCATATCTGATTTATTAAATTGGATTTGTTCTGTTTATACATGAGTAGAACTACCTTGTTCTCTGAAAGAAAAAATTTCTCGCATTTTTATCTGTGCTTTGCAGTCAAACTTCCTTGTGTCTTGGACAAGAAATCTTATTTCCTTGAAAACAAAATCTTTGTTTCCAGCCTTCTGTAATAGGTAAATATAACAGTGTAAGATGAGTGACAGTGTATTTCTCAAGTTATTTTTTGGAATGTGACAAAACGGAAGTGTCATAGTGTGATAAGGAGCCAACATATGATTGCTTGATAGAAAGCAAAAAATGCAGAATTGCATATATTTTCTCCTTTGTCAGCAGCATATGTTAGTGAAAAGTTCTTATAATTGTTAACTTCTAAACCATCTTCAATTTAGTCAAGATTGAATTGTTATCCCGTTTGTCATAAAAGTATTCTGAGATCAATGTCATATGACCCATTCATGTATTTGACCTTTTGAATTAGCAAGCCATAGTTGACAGAAACACAAAGGTTGAGGATAAAAAGAAATTATTATATACAGTACTTCTTCTGCATCTTTTCGTTTCTTTTTCTCTCTAGCTGTTCTATCTATGCCGTGCTGGCAATTGAACACTTCCCTTCCCAAAATTAGGAAAGGCACACCAGTAAAAAACGAATTTTTGCTCCTTAAATATCTCACGTATCTTCCCCCAGTATTTTGTGACTTCTGTCCGAGGAAGGAGGTGTATGCATTAAATTAATGCGAATGATTCCACGATTGTGGTAGAACTTAAACTAGATAAACTAGTGAAAATGCACAATAGCGATAGCAAAGCTTTGTAATGCCAAAGAGCTATATCAATATATATATATACACACCGGTGTTCCCAAAACCGTCAATCCTGTTTCAAATTCCGCAATAAGTTTATGCGCCTCATCAACAGAATTTACATATCCTAAATTATCTGCATGTCTACCATCAATGGTTTGCGACTTAAAATTCTCGCTATGCTGTTTCTGTTTGTTCCTCAAGAATCATGGGATTTACAGCTTCGGATGTTCGGCTCGGCTACATCACTTGCAGATTTCTGAGAATCTTCGGTTATGTTTTGCAAGTCATTAAATATTCCATCCCAGTCCCTCTCGACCAAGGTGGTTTTGGTGGATGGAATCTAATGCTGACCAATATACAACGATATCTTCACATCTTTATGGCGCAAAAAAGGTCAAAGTCCGGCTGAACAGTTCAAGGAATTGTTCAGTCTGGTTTGTTACTTCTTTGCGCTGAATTAACCCTCTTCTGTACTGAATTACCAGAAAACTGCATTTATTTTAACGAATCAGAACTGAGTAATTTTTTTCATGTATCTTAATAGACTGAAAAATAAATGATAGGAGACACTTTGATTATTTTCTTTCCGGCGCTTCCAGAAGTGTTGGAACAAAAGCCTCTGTGTAACAGAAATGATCTGATGACGTTTCATCGAAGAATTTCTCATGCAAATACAGTCTAGTGAATTCTTCGTCGATTAATTTACATAGACAGAGTTTCAAAATTGCACCGGAAATAAACCGATGATAAATTTCCTTGCTTCATTGATCATGTGACATCTGGGAAACAACCGCACACGTCGACTAATTTCCCATCATTCTAATATGGCTGCCTCGCACGATGAATCCTTGTTCGGAGAAAATATCGACAAGAGTTTGTTTGAGGAAGGTCTTGTGGAGATCGCGGATCGTTTGCGTAAGCAAGGCAAGAGTGTCTTCGATCTGAAAGCAGCAAAGGACGAAATGTCTGTGGAGAAAGACAAATATGTTCTTATAAACATCTTTAGGGGGCATGCATCGATCGTTGTTGTCGACAAAGAATTGTTCGAGACCATTTTATTTCCACCCATCTGGGGACAGATGTTAGATGGACCTAATTTGGCATTCCGGGAAGATTTCGAAACTGTGAAAAGAATGGCTGCTACGATCCCTTTACAGCAGTATCACGTCTGCTTAGACGAGTCTGGCAACAAGTACATTCTTACACGCAACATGTTTTACATGCCATGGCTGAAGAAATCTCGGAGTTTTTACGTTGGAGAATCGGCTATGGCGTACTTATACCTGCAGTTGTTGTGCTTGACTGTTGTTCCATCGAAGTATCGACTGATCATCGACGACTGTTTAGAGTTTGCGAAGCGGTTCGCCAAGGAGATCGCTGTTCAAGAGAACGACATTAGGGGAACGGAAATCCAAGCGTTGTTCAGGACTTTGTCAGTATCCGAGCACTATGCAAGCGCCGTAGTGGAACAAGCTTCTCGAAATAACCCGAAAAGTGGTTTAAGCGCTGCCATTTCTTACTTCATGAGTTTTAGATTAGAAAGACTACTTCTGGCATTAGGTATTGTTGTGATCGCGATTGTTCTGTACATTTGTATACGTTACTAAGTATGTCAACTTCCCGAGATCTCAAAGCTCATTCTCCAAAAAGAAGACCATAGTTCACCTTTGCGGCTAAGAATAGGGCTGTAGAGTTGTGAACAGACAATATGTACAGCGATGTTATATCCTAACGGGCCGATCACTGCGATCAGTCGATAAACTTGCTGATGCCCGAAGTGCACGCTGTGTTTATGATTACCAATTCTAGTATGTAAATTTGTTTCTTTATCTCAGATAACTTTCACGTGTTAGTGTATAGAAACTGATGATAAGGTTTTTCAAGGACGACCCGGGACAAGTAGACTCTCCGCAGCACCTACAGTCCGAGATTTGTCCGATGTGCCAATTTCTGCATAATTTCTCCGTTCAACGCCACAAACTGCCAGTGAGGTCAAACAACCAGTTTGTTTTAGACACAGCCTAAACACACAGAACAAAGTTGAATCGCGAAATCACAGTGATTGGTCCAAAAATAGCACTATTTAAATAAATATGAAAATTTGCTCGTGATTTTCTGTAACGACACCACTGGTGATCAAATTCGCAAATAAAATGTGTTGGCGATAAATCCTTCGATTGAGATCAAAACTCAGTCTCTTTAATGAATTTTTCATTTTTCGATAAGAGAGTAAATTGTTTATATGTTTTTAAGGTATAAAGTAACATCAAGCGCGGTTACACTTTAGTTCCTGTTTCAAGTGACTTTCAAGTTTAATTGGTGGCCATCGGGTGTTATTTCTGATGAAGTGCACGTGAAAATATTGCTATGATTTCAGTCTGTCTTACTAATGATAAACGTTACGCTTCTCTCAAGGGTTTTTGTTTCTGCTTATAATTCTTAACGCTATCTTTTGGTCCCTCTTAATTGTTACGAGACGGCTCTTGACTTCGTGCGAGGGCAACGAGAACATGTCAGGACGAGGATAGGGATTGACTCCACGAGCAGATCAAACGCTCCTTACGTGACACTCGGCAAAAATGTGTCTACTAAAAAAACCCAAGAGTATTTATAATCACTTGACATTTCTAAAAAAACATCTGATACTCTTTAAAAGTTTGAAAGAACCTTTGAGTAGAATTTCTGTGAAAATTCCTGACTTCCAGACATTTAGTACGTAAGACCGTGCCTAGCTGCCGGGCATTTAGACTCAGCGTTACATTTATATTTGTACCATACTCTGCTCTTATAAAAATGAAAAGCTATAAATTTATTTGACGTCCAGATCCAGCTTGGAGATTGGAGAGTGAAATAGCATGTCCTCAAAATAGATTCTTGAACAATGAATTTAACAAATGATACGCCATTTCTGTTCAGAATTGTTCGAGACTATTTTATTTCCATCCATCTAGGGATAGATGTTAGATGGAACTAATTTGTTATTCCAGGAAGATTTCTAAGTTGTTAAAAGGATGGCTGCGTGAACGTTTCTACCCAAGTAAATTACATTTGCTTAGGCCTAGTTTATACGTCGCGCTACAGTCGAATTTAATTCAGACGAATTTAATTCAAGGTCCCACAAGCAATTAAATTCGACGATAGCGCGACGTCTAAAACGAATTAAATTCGTCTGGGAAATTAAATTCGTCCTAGACGTTTTATCCGTCTTACCAAGACGGATAAAATATCGATAAAGCGTCTTCAGTTTTAACGTCGCGCTAGCTTCGCGTCGAATGAAATGCATACATTTTCTTAATGTATTTCAATTTATTTTGGCGAGCCCGCAGCGACCCGTGGCGAGCTTTTCGAGTATTCCGCATGCGCAGAAATTCCTCTTGGGCACTTCGGCGCGAGTTTACGTTGTAGTTCATAGCCATGGCGCTTTGGAGGAAAAGTTTGTCATTTTCTTGCAGTAATTGTGAGAGACAAACGAAGTATTCTTGTATAACGTGTGGTAAAAGTGTATGTGTTCGATCGGAATGTTCGATTCCTGAAGTTAATGAAGAAGCTTTCAGGTGGCAACCAAATAAACGTGTTGGGTATTGTCTCAAGTGTGCTCTTTGTACAGAAAAGCTTGTTAAAGATTGTCAGAGCGAAGTGGATGACAAAGACCATGGTCAGAGGGATCTTACAACATGTATTCGCGAAGAAGAAGAAGAAGAAGAAGAAGAAGAGTCAGATTTCATCGAGGAAGGTGAAATGGTGAGTTCTGAATGTGGGTAAAGGAAGAAAAGGATTGGGCGGAGAGCGACTTGGAAAGAAGTTCACATCACTGATATGGTAAATATCATTTTTAATGATGACCAGCTGGTCAAGAAACTGATATTTTGCAATACTAAGAAAGCAAGCAACACTGAAGCTTATGAGATGGTGCGGAAACGGCTGAACGTCGAATAAAATAAGACCACCGGGAGTGATCTTCCTTTCCAAGTGCAACAAATGAGAAATAAATTTAAGTCATGCATTAGTACGTGTAAGCAGATCTGCATGACAATGAAAAGGTTTGTTGAAGAACGGGGATATGGTAAATGGTTTGACCTTCTTTATGTACTTGTTAAAACTAGAGATTCATGTCAACGAGAAATGCATGTGAACCCTCTGTACATATTGGAAATGTAGACAAGCAAGATACCAGCAAGAATAATCAAGAAGTTGATGGTGATGATGATGACTGTGCAAGCACTTCATCCAGCCTTATGGATAGCAGTGGAGAAGTCCCATCCAAGGGTAAACGTTTCTTGGCAAAGAAACCTGCCTCTAAACGAGCTAAAACTGAGCAGATGGCAAAAGCTGTTGAACTTCTTCAAAGTACTATTGAGAATGATCCCACCAAAGAACTTTTGCAAATTTTAAGGGAAGATATGAAGCAGTCTAGAGAACAGGAAATGAGGTACTTGCAGTTGATGTGTGGCCTACTAACACCCAACAGCAATCCAAACACGCAACCCCATGATAATTTCCATCCTTATAGCAGTTCTTATTCTGATGATTTTCATCATCAAAGCCATAATTTTGCACAACAATCTGTGTCCAATCCCAGAGCTAGCAGCAGTCACCCAAGTACCCCATCCTTTGGGTACACACCATTGATGTCATCTGCTCCAAAAAATGATGAGCAGTCTCTCCTACATCACGTTCAGTCAACTATGACTTGACAAGGACAATCTGGTGTTTCACAGTTGTACCAATTTTGAAAGGGTCTTGGCATGAACTCTAACATTTTAAAGTTATTTTGGAACTGCTTTGAAAAGAGCCTTCTACACCATGGTCTTGAAGTGCCTATAACTCAAATAATCTTTTTCCACTAGCAGAAATCTCAATATTGCACTGATATGATGGTTCAAGAAGTGTAGCATTTTGTTTAAATATTGGTTTTTTAAAAGAATTTGCAAATTAAGTCTGTTTTTATCTCAAACTTTAATTTTTGGCAGCAGAGGTATTAATAATATTACCTGAGTTCCCATGTAGTTTCTTTGCACTGAGATACCACCATAGTTAGTTTGGTATGTTTTGGTTGTCAAGATATGATCCTCAATAATTCTCTGTTTAATGTTTACTTTGTGGTTATGAGTAGTCAAAACAAAAACTTGTGCAATGGAAAACAAGTACTGCTGTCTCCTCAAGTCTACCCTTCAGATAAATGAGCCTAAATACATCTCATCTGGTGACAGTGTAGATACCCTTTCAAAGTTGTTCCCTCAAAAACATGAAAGGAACAGGATATCATAATGTGTATTACTGAAATGTACATTATGGTTTACAAATCATTCAAATGTTGTGTTTTACTTTGAATCTTTTTGTTAATTTTTTATATCCCTTTGTTAATTTGTTTGAGATTATATTACAAAATTTGGAAAACAAAGGAAAATAATATGGTGAAAGAATCAATACATTTCTTTAACAAAGGAAATAACAACTGAATTACAGTATTGCAATTCTCATCATAACAGTGTTTATCTCATGGTACTGTATGTAATGTCTGAAAAATATACAGTGATGCAACGTAATGTCATATATTAATAGTATTCCTTGATCCAATGACAACCACACTCTGAATGGGAAAGCAGAATCTCCCAAAATCATCGGGTAAACCTCGGTACCTTCAATGACTTGAGAAATTGATGGTATGATGTTCTTTTCAGTAATGTTTTGCCACTAATCAGTGGACTGGAAAATGATGGAATCGTGTGAATTTCCTGGAAAACCAACACTTGCCCAGATGAAACGATCCTGTGCATCTACAATGGCCATTAATACTATTGAATAAAAGTTCTTAAAGTTATGATACTCTTTACAGGCTTTCAGACCGCCAGGAGGGCACTGAATGGGGATGTGGCACCCATCTACAGCACCCCAGCAGCGGGGGAATTGCCAAAACGCTGTCATATCCACCATTTTCTCCATAATATTCTGTTTGGTGATTGGAAAATGCGCTTGCACCGAAGGTTTCCACAGGTTTCTTATGATCGCTTCACATACTTCCTCTATGATTTTGTGAACGGTCGTCACACCAAGGCCAAACAGTTCCGCAGTGGTGTATAGGTAATCACCTCTACCTAATCTGTAAAGACATATAGCCAGCCTACATTCGGCAGAAACGGGCTGCTCTGTGACAAAATCTTTCTCAATATCAGGTCGAAGACTCTTCAAAATTAAGTTAAACGTATTCCTTGATAAACGAAAGGTTTTCTTAAATCTTCCTTCATCATAGAACGCCCAGACCAATTCCCACCAACCTGTGTTTTTATGACTGCGACGACAACTGCTAGGTCTTCGAGCTCTAATTTCATCTTCACTTGACTGTAACAGGAGACACGTCAGCAAACAAAGTCGTACGATAAACCTTTTCCTCATTAACACCAATGTAACCATATTACGCCGTAGTTAACGTCGCCGTTGTCTTTCCCTGGAAATTTTCTCGAGCAAACTTGTTTTCAGAGCTTTGGCCCGCGCCATGTTTGTTTCAAAATGACACCTCTGACCAGAGACACTGCATTTGGGAGGAGAATTAAATTCGACCGTTTTGATTTCGACTCATAAAACCACGCCACGATTTATGTCGACGGAACGACGAATTTAATGGAATTAAATTCGTCTGAATTAAATTCGACTGTAGCGCGACGTATAAACTAGGCCTTAGTTTTGAAACCAAACGAGATTTAGACGCAAAAAAAAAAATTGTTTCCCGGATACAAGAAAGAAAGACAAAATATTTGTATATCGAGTAGAAAGGTCGCTAATGGACTCTATCTGTAAACAAAATATATAGCATAACAACGTTATTAAGTCTACGACGCCGTTTATTAAAGAAGCCCGGCCATTGGTGAACACTAAAGCTACAATAATGGCGTCATAATCTTATCGACGTCAAAAAACGTTTAACGCCGTCGTTAACCTCTGGACATTGATAACTTTACAGTGTTGAGGATTTTGACGACGTCGGTAGCATAACGACGCTGTTCACAACTTTAACAACGCCATCAAATTCAACGAGATCATAATCTTAAGATGTTTCTTCCTACAATTTCCTCTTTTTATCCAGTAACCACGTATAGAGAGTAGCAGCACATGTCAGTCGGAGTGTGTTGCCCTGTTGTAACCAAACTCTCTCGCGGTAGCAAATGCGTGAAAGCTGTACTAGCGAATTTCTCATCAGGTCTGGTGAGCTAAAAGGTTTCATGAGTAGAATTGCTATATTGTTGTTTTACAGGTCTAGGTGACAAGTTAATGTTGCAGCTTTATATTTATTTACATTTTACACTTTTGCACATTTTCATTTCACCCAAGAATTGTTTGGATAGTGAGTCTGAGTATACGGTTATACGCGGAAATGTTGCCGGATTGTTTTCGATGTGAGGTAAACCGTAATGTTCTTGATCAAACAACAACTTACTACTTCTAATAAGGTACACAAACAGTCTTCCGTTACAGAAGTTTTCTCATACAACATTGTTCTTGGTGAAAGGCTGAAAATACTATTGTGTCATCAACCTTTTTTTTATCATTTGTCTGGGAGACAGTTGTCGATGATGCACGCTATTATCACAGTCTCAGAAGCAAACAAAGCATACGCATATGCAAACCTGTTCTCTCGCCGAAAAGTACACCTTGTCGATTATCTTGGCTGCTGGTGTTTTGAAAAGCCGCAAACTTACACCCTGGACATTTTCTCCGATGGTCTCTGGGGCTGGTTGTCAAAACTTCTATCAGTTACGTCGAAGCCCAAAGAAAACACCTTTAAGAAGTATTCGTTTTTGCGACACAACAAATCAAACGGTGAAAATGGAAGATTTGTACTAGAGCATCAGGGTTTATGATCACAAACTCCTTCAATATTTGAACAAGGTGAAATGTTAGAAGCCCAGTAAAAGATATTTGATGCTGCAAGACAATCATTTCGTTCGTCTGCTGCAGTCGAAGGATTAACTTTTGAGGCGAATGACTGATCTTTGAACCTTCCGAAAACTGTCATGGAAATCGATTCTCAACCCAAATTTACGTTTACCATTGTGCTCAGATGAAAATAAGCGCCCGAGCGCTTATTTAAATTTCGAGGGAAAAAGGAGGGGCACCTATTGGTTCGGAAAAAATCTTTAAAAGAAAAACAACAAAAAAATTATCCACCTGGACGTCAAGTCAAGTGCTGCTCAATTTGTTTATCCATGACATTAACAAATTTACGTTTAAGCTTAATCCCAGTTCCAAGTGCTGCTCAATTTGTTTATCCATGACATTAACACTTTCTCAGTGCGCCCGCGATTGAAAAATTGAAAATTTGGCGGAGACAAATTTTGCAGAGATTTTTGGTGGAGGAAGACCAATTTTGTCGGCTCAGTGCGCCGGGGTCCTATGACAAATATGTTATCTGTTATTTTATAAGGAATATGGAATAATCTGATTGGTTCCTGGAGTGACAGTGGCTTGTCATGGACCGGCTCAATTTCATTAGTGTATATACTTTGTAAAAAATTGGCAACCAGTTGCTGGCCTATTAGTGGCGAAACTTTTTCACAGCGCATGTTCATGGATAGATTCGGTACTCATTAAAAACTAGACCTTTTTAGACAGGGGTCATTATTTATGGCCTGGGGAGGGTAGGTCGGAGGATCTCGGTTGTGTTACGATGATTTTTAACTGATCCCCCATAATACTCTGTAATATATAATTTGTTGGCAACGACTGATCCCCGCTAAGTTCCCCCTGAAAACCATGTGATCCAACCAAAAAAATTATCTACCTCCACGGTGATTGACTGGTCCCATATGAAGTGTTTCCATGACATTTGTGTTTCAACAAGTAGACAGCAACGTACCACAACAACAGAATAGTCGTTTATTGTGAAATTCATTCTTTATATAAACATCATAACGAGGCTAGCAGCGCACCCTGGTACAGAGGCTACCCAGCCTACCCTACATAACAATTTGATATACTTTAATTCAGAAATTACCAGCCGTGTTCAAGTGTTAAATAACAAAGCCTGTGGACATGTATTTAAGTACAAGCAAGGGAGCGTGCGAACACGAAAGTGAGTAACTTTTCAACAATTGTTTTTAAATTTGATATTTCGTACGATTAGCTTACGATTGTTCGGTTTTTTTGGCCTATTTGTCTGAGCTTTTTTTGCTTGTTTGTGATCTTAAACCCTGCTTTTTATTTTGTAAAGTTCAGAGAATCCAAAGATATTTGTTACGAAAACGTTGTATTGACAGAAACTATGGTATTAACCAGAAAAGATATAATAAATGTGGCAATATTTTTAACGGTTCATTTTCATGCCATAGAAAATCAAAATGTGATGAAAAGTTAACGTACTTCGCACACCCTGCACCTTAGAGTAATTCATCTTTTTTTTCTGTCTGAAATAAAATGATGAACATAAAGTTTATTTTGGGCATACTAACAATACTATTACAATAACAGCATATACTTACATTGTATCTCACATTAAGCAACGTTTTTTAGGAATTTGTGTCATACGAGGCTCACTCATTAAAGAGATTTCGTACCTTGTGGTTGGAAATCTGGCTTGATGCTTCTCTGGTTCAAAGATTAAATGAATGTAACCGAGAAGTTACAATTCATAGACCCAACGTTTCGACTTCTGTCTAGTGCCTTCATCAAGGGTGATCTAGTCGCTGCATACTCACTAACTAGCTACCTTTTTTTTGTAATCTTACAATATTCTTGAAATTATCTTGACTTACATAACAGCCTGGTAACAAAGGCGTGGGGATACTTCTTGTGGGATGGGAAAATGTACATAACAAGTTCTGGACAAGAGAGTAGTCCAAGCATCAATTTTGGGGTGACTTCAAATTCTTGGTACAAACTCAAGTCAGTAGTCAATGGAATTAACGTAAAAGTTTATGTTAATGGCAACTTGGCGAAGGAAATCACAATGTCAGGAAGTGAAGCGGACTCTAAAAGTAACAACTACGTAGGGATATGGTGTCATGCCAGTATTCCCATAAAGGGGGACAGTTTTCATGTAGCAGGTGAGGAGAGCTTTTAAGATTTGTTCGCAATTTGAAACTTGAACTAGGGAAGAACTCCTTCATATGAACTACCGCAGCAAAAACAATAATAACTTTCAAGTTTATTGTAAGATTTAAAAAAAATAATTAAATTGAATTAAGTGTACAATACATAAATTGAAAATACAGAAGGTGACTTGTCACTCAAATAGCTTTAAAGCTTAACTAGTTGGGTGACCACAATTACTCTTTTAACAGCATCTCTTTTCTGTAGTTTCTCCTTTTACTCTATTGGTGACGACTGATTTCCCGTTTTAAATATGGTGGTATTTCCCCAATATAATAAGTAGTTATGTCGTATTATTGACACTATACTTATTTCACGTTTTACCAGCTCGTTAATTCAGTTTTACAAATACAAGAAAGGTTTTAATGAACTATTATCACCATACTATTAGGTATTCCTTTCCCATTTATTTTTACTGTGGTTGAACTTGACGTTCACAGCCATCTTATTCTTTTCCACAGTTTCAGCTCCAGGTTGCATGAAACTCAACTTGTCTCGTCCTGTAAAAACATCTCCGGGTGATTGTATGACGTCACATATGAAAGCCAATACGAACTGCTCGTTTTCATGCCTACAGGGATACCAGCTTCAAGGTCCGCCCTTTACACTGTGTGGGTCAAACGGCGAGTGGACAAACAGTGCTAAGGCAGTTTCGTGCAAAGGTGAGCTCTGGCACTTTTCTCTCTTGTCTTGGGATGCGCTAAGGCTCCTTAGAGACAAAATGTGCCGAATTCCATGTCATGAACGTATTCATGAAATAAAAACTATAAACAGTTGATAGATCTTCTATCTAAAGAAGAGAAAGTACTCTTAACTAAAGTAAGGAAAGAAAATGTCAGCGTGTTGAGTGGTTAGGGAACAAGACTTGTAATCTGTTGGTCTCAGGTTTAAGCCCTCCACCCTGCTACAATGGATTTTTTCTCGGTTTTCAATCGGTGGTTAGCAATATTTACATTTGTTCATAAAGGCCCTAAAAAGCCCTATTAGGGAATGGCCAATTAGGCACAAACACACACACACACCCACACACTCACTCATATATATATATATATATATTTATAAAGTGTAAAATTTTGACTTTCGTAATACAGTGCTCAACACAATCCCCACTCATCAGGGGATTTAATTTAAATCCCCTGATGAGTGGGCAACCACGAAACAGGCTTGTAGGGATGAACTTGTAGTTTATTTGCCTTTTTCCTCCCAATATATATGTATTTATATATATAAACAAGAGTTCATCTAAACATTATGGCAGATTCAGTCAAATTTCAACCAGTACCAGGCAGTTTTTTATGAGAGAAGGTTCTTCAGATCAAGCTTAACTTTACCAAATAGATGTGCGTTATCATCCGTTGTATTTTTTTATCCTCCTTTTCAACAGATGTTAACGAGTGTGCTGTGTCAAATGGTGGCTGCAGTCACAAGTGCGTCAATACTGCAGGAGGCTACAAATGTGAATGTCCAGACCCAGAGCTAAGCTTATCATCAGATAACAAAACATGCCATGGTTAGTATACTGTCTTGATAACAAATGGGCACTCCTTCTTTTTTTCTTTGTCTTACTTTCCTTTTTCTTTTTTTTTTCACCCTGTTGTTTAGCTGTTGTTTGTTTATTAAAGTTCACATGGCAACCAATGTTTGTTTGGTTATTCCGCTATTCTTTCCTTTTTTATCCCCAAAGGCGATATTGGTCGGCGAACGGAATCGTGCAAGTAACGTACACATTTAAGGGTCAGGCATCTAACGTGTTTTCAGAAGTGACTTTTTTTCTTCACCCTATCGAGAAAATTATCGCCCGAATTTTAAATTTTTGAGCTAATTTGGATGGTCTATAACTCATTAGCCCATGCCATGACAGGTTAATAAGTAAAATGAAAGCTCACGTCCATCAAAAAGAGATAAGGTGGGTGAGTAAATTTTGAGTTTGTTTTTTCCCATTTCAAGAAAAAAAATTTTGTTTCAGCTCCAGGGGTTGACGTCGAGTGCAACGGCAACAACATGACCATCGTCATCCCCAAGTCCCTCCTCCGCGGTCTCGACCGTGAGCATCTTCGACTCCTGGACACGACCTGTAGAGCAAGAGAAACCAACACTCATTTTTTCCTAACGACTCCACTGAATGGCTGTAACACGACACGCAGGTTTACACCTACAGCTATCGTCTACTCCAACGCTGTGTTGGAAATCCCTGTGGCTGCCAAGAGCGTAATAACACGCGTACGTGAAATAGAAATACCATTCAGCTGCTACTTATCCAAGTACGGCGTGGTATCATCCGTTGCCAGTTGGAAGCCAAGTAACAGAAAACTCGTGTTCAGTGATGAAGGCAAAGGAAACTTCACACTTTCGCTGAGTATGTTCCCTGACAACAGATTCGTGAGTCCTTACATGAAAGACGACTTCCCTATTGGTGTGGTGCTGCGCGAACGTCTGTTTTTTGAAGTGTTAGTCACCTCTGATGACAAGCAGCTGTCGATAATTGCTGACAGATGCTTCGCAACCCCTACCCAGGATCAGTCTAACCCCTTAAAGTACGAGTTTATAAAGAAAGGGTATGTTATATGTTATGGTATTTCTTTTCATAGCTTTATTGCACAGGTGGTCATCAAAATCACAACTGAGAATTGAGACCTGCGGGCGAGTACTTCTCAGTGTTATGCAATAAGTTTTGAACAGCACTGTGACGTGAGACCTTTCCTTACCTTCTTCAAAAACTTGACATTTTATTTTCTTCAAACCTGTCTTTTAGATGCCCCAATGACGTAACTGTGCAATACCATTCTGCGCCATCAGTCAGTGCTCAGCGGTTTAGCCTTGAGGCCTTTAAGTTTATTGCAGGTCATCCGTTTGTGTTTGTCCACTGCCACGTGACTGTATGTAACGCAACCGATCCAGACTCTCAGTGTGTACAGAAATGTCCTTCAAGTGGCCGAGGGAAACGGGCGGCAGGTGGTCAAATGACTGACACGTACTTTTTGGCAGAGGGTCCTCTTCATCTAGCTCATAACAAACGCGAGGAAAAGCGCGCAAATAACTTCAGAACAAATGGTATGTAACACAAAGATAAAGTGCAAAAGTTGTTACTTATATTACCTTTCAGTTTTAGATATCTCTATAATATATCAAAAATTTCACGATGCTCGTCTGTAACATACAACTAAATGAATATTAATTATAACCAGCGTACAAGCAATGACTTTAGGACGTAAAGAAGTTTTATTCTGGACGACTCGAACTCTTAACTAAACATGAAAATTGCCAGTGATTTCTTAAATAAATGTTACAAACGTACTACAACTAATTAGAACAATGGAAATCACACAAGAAATAACAGAAGAAATACGAGACAAACGATAAAAGAGGACGATTCGGGAATACGGCGAAACAGCATTAAGAACTTTACGTTACTTGACATCACTTGTCAATTGGAGCAAACACTTTGTCATTTGCCTAACCGTGCGAATGTCAAACTATTTAAGGATAGCTGCGCGGACTGGGACTCTGTGGGGGATTGGTTTCTACAGAAATACATTTTAAAACCTTGAGGCCTCTTTTCAACCTTTTTCGATTTTGCACGACTAAAGTTGTCACAACTTTAAAAGCAGAACGCATTGGACTAAGTTGTAGAGTGAAAATCAGCCTTCAGATGGTTTCCAAAATGGCATACTGATACTTAACTGATTTCTTCAATTTGTGCTGAAGCAGTAACATAAAAACCTATTATTATTTCCCTCTTAGCCTGACAACAAGGCCTCCAGCTGCGAGTTGCGAAAGAGTACCTTAAAATTGTCTCTGATCTTTCTCGACGTGTTGATTCATCGATTATTCTAGCTCTTTTTTGTGGCTCGCGTCGCCCATTAACCAAAAAGTTAAGTTAGGTAACCTTGTCATACGCGCATAATTTATGCCCTCAGTCTCCCCATTAGGTTCCGGTTCTTCCCTTCTGATGATTCTCCTTGTGATTTGCGCCGCTTCATTGGTGGGTACCGCGCTGAAGATCTTCAAGAAGTCAAGTGACAAGCCTGCTGGTTACACTTTGCTAGCATATGGAGATCAGCAACACAACTAGCGAAGTGTTACAAAAAATGACTGGAATTGACATTTTTTTTTTTCGTTTAATGGGAGCGGATTTTCAAGTGTGTTTAAACTAGGGAGGGTGCGTTAATTTTCCGTGTCAACATTTTTAGACCTGTGTATCGACTAAAGGGCAAATATTTCATAGAATGATGAGAATTTAATTCATAAAATGTGGTCATCGTATTGAAGGAAAACTCAGTTAAAAGCCCACAAGGAATGTGATAGTATGTCATGGTGTTGGGTTTTACTGTCGCTTTTAAAAAAGATCAATAAAACACATTTTAATTGCGTTACATTCAATTATGCTGAATTCTGAAGCATAAGTTGTCATTTGGAAGTCTTGAATCCACCGTCCACGGCCAAGCGGCTCAATTACAGTTAAACGGTAAGATCTGGGTACGAGATTCGTTATTGGGGCCTTCAGCCCTTATCCTTAATTTTTTTCCATAAAATATCAAGTAATACAGCCATTTATTATAAAATGAGGCAAAAAAAGTGTACAATGGAGACATGCGCACGGACGCCATAAACATGTTTTGCGGTAAAATTTTCCTTTTTTCTCCCACCCCCCTGAGGCTTTGTAATGATCTCCCCTCATTGGCAGTTGATCGGCAGTCAAAGTCCGTTCTAGTAATCTGTTGGCGACGACTGATTCCCCTGAAAACCAGATCCCTGATAAAATACTTTAAAACTTTTCTTCCTTGTTGGTAAATATATTTTCAACACTGTTCAGTTTTAAGTGTACATTAACATGCGTCAAGAGCTGAAAATCGTGCGTGTATGTCAATTCAACCCACTAATTGTGCATAAATCAAAAAGATTATTTCACAAACTTACTGATAAAATAAGTAAATATATTTTACATTTCTCTTCCAGAGAGCTCATGGTTGTCCTTCATCTGTGGGGCATTCTTTCGAGATGAGACACGGCACTGATGAAATTGTATTGTTTTAATTTTTCACTTTCATTTATCCTTGATGAAATAATTATTTCGTTTTATTCACGCACATATCCTGCATCTGATGTCAGTGACAACAAAGTTGACTTAAGAGGAGGCGAAGAAGTCTTTTAGCCAGGTAAAATTAACACTGTCAAGATCAGCGTAATGTTCTCCGGAATTGAGTTGCCTGCTTTGCAAAACAGCACCGTCTGTCGTTTCCATCGAAGAGTCATGAACTTGCCCGGAAGCTCCTTCGGAAACACGCGTTGTTTCTACGTCGCTGTCTTCATCCTCATCCATACTTTCAACTGCAGGAGAAAAAAAATTTTAAAAAACAAACAAAAAAACAAGAATTGCTCTATTAGTTAGAAATAAATCAATTAAGGGATTGAAATGAACGTCGACGGTAGTTGGAATCGCACTGATTTTGCTTTACTCGGCTCTGATATTGTTTGGTTTTACGACATTTAAGCGCTATAGTGGTCACTAAGGGCTGTAAGTCACACGAGGTGTGACAGATTTTCAGCAAAGGTCCTGAAAAACTTACCTTCGTTTTCATCATCACTATTCTTGTCATTATCTTGATCTTCCCTGAGAAAGTCGAAAAAATAAAGAAAACAAATGTTCATATCAGAATAAGTGAGACGAAATTTCACATAAAATAGACCTCATGGCCTGTTTTCGCTCATCAATTTTATCCTTTTACACGTGTTATTTGGTATGCAGCGCTTTTCCCAGCAGTCTATGCGTAACGAAACTCAGCTTACATAATACTTGGAAAAGAAAATGTTACCTTGGCGCGGATTGCTTGCTGACCAACAGTGACTGCAGAAATGATGAGCAAATAGAGGAAACTGAAGGAAGAACATGAGAAGGGGTCTGCAGCATCTGCAAAGAAAGAAATCCGCATTCGAGCTCGTTACGGTTAGCAATATTTAAGTAGCCTAAATTTTGGAATCAAAACACTTCGAACCAACCTGTCTGACCACAGCGCTTGATGGATTTCCCCTGACACCTTTACCGACGCGGTGATCTGAAGTGGACTCCGCTCCTGAAACAGAGATAAGTTGATAACCTTCATTGGGGAAGTCAAATAATGATAATAGTGATGATAAAAAGAAGACAGATAAATGAAACGTGGAAAGAAGCCGTCCATGGCTGGAATGAGAATCGAGATTTACGAGTGTTGGTCGAGGATTTGACAGGAAAATATTGCCACGAAGAATACATTCGCAGATTATAAGCTGCAGGAAAGAAGGCGATGACCAGACCGTAGATTACGAAAGACAGCTGCTGTCTTCATCACTTACTACTCTTCGTTGACTGTCCGAAGATCTTATAGAATTCAGTTTGCTCTTCTGGCTTCGCAGCAGATTCCTGAAATAAAGCAATGTCAAAAATCACGTCATTGACTGATTGGCTCATGTAAGTTTAAATGAAAAGTCAAGCATTACTCAAAGCCTAAAGCACTGGCTTAATAAAAGGATCTCAGTTAGGGTGGGGTGGGGGTGTGGAAACGGTTCGCTTCTATAAATCCACTTTTTGCCAGGCGACAATTCGATAGAAATAAAGAAAGGAAAGGTAGAACAGATGTGGTAGTTTATTCAATTGTGGACAACGTACCATTCCTACGGAGAAAAATTCTTAGAGGTTTGACGATATGTCTGTTTTAATTCAAGATTAGAGCTCGTTTTTTTTTTATTTCGACTGTTTAACACTAAAACCTTTTAAAAAATTAAACAAAAAAAAACAAACAAAAATAAAGAGGGAAAACGACGTGACCAAAAAAAAATCATTAAGATCAATAACAAAGTTTCACAGTGATGATATTGATTATGACATTACAAGAAGAAATTACGAATTGGTCATTCCTGAGGGTGACAGGGTCACAGTTACTCACCTGTGACTTGACTGGACTCTTTTTATCTTCTGATTCACCAAAATCCAATGTGAACAGTTTCTGAAATGGAAAAAGGTAACGTTAAGTCCTATAGCTTGCATTTGACAGCTTTTACATGTAGATCGCTCACGTGTTCGCTAATTTTACAAACTTTGTAAAAACGTCATGGTTTCTCGCGCAAAACCGAACTGCATCAGGTACTCAATCAAAAACTGTAAGTTTTTTCCTCAACACTCATAAAAACCATATAAACTTACGGCAATTTTCCCATACCTGCTCCTGATTCAAGAAGTAAAGTTTCGACATTTTGAACGATTTCCCATTTTTGTTGCTGCATAAAACGCTTTCCCTGTCGAAGACCGCTGACACCACATCCGACCTCCTGGACACAGAGGACTGAACAGCTACAGGATGAGGGGAGGCTGGGTCGAAAATGTACACTATAATTAAAAAAAAATATATGGCCACTTTTAACAAAGTTAAATAGTAATTACTTCTTGTCTCTGTTTCCCAACTTCTTTTAAACACGCTTTGGTTGTTGTGAAGACAAAACTCTCAGTTTCCTTGTTCTTGTTGCTCAGAATATAAATGGCGCCGGTAAATGGCTTGAAACCAGATAAAATTCTGATAGTCGGTGCGTTTGATGACCAAAGTGTGGAATGTCATCCGTTCATGCCACGGAAACGGGAATAAGCTGTCTCCGTTTAGTCTCAACGACTGGGGGAAATTCTCTGTCACTTAGACTAGAATTTCCTTTCTGTTTATGGCAAAGTACATCCATACTTCCTGTTAAGTGTCTCAAATAAAGCCATTTTTTAAACATGAGTATCGAACCTTTAACGCCCATCTGCTAGTTAGCTATTTCGAAGATTTTGGTGTTACGTCAGGACAAATTCTCCCCGTTTATGAACTTCGTAAATCTCAGCACCTTTTTGCTCAACAGTGTATTTAGGTTGTAAAATAAATTTGCATTCTAAGAGTAAATGGGTTTTAAGAATTACAAGCAAGATTCAGTTCACTGAGATCAGACGGATGATCTTAAAACCAGAACGACGATAACAAGGCCCACTTACAGTGTGATTTGTTCTTGTTGAATGAAACGAAAACACAAATCAGATTTGTTTGTGGATCAGGCAGTAAACACGTCACAGGGGCTTCCACACTCCACCAAACTAAAAGAAAAGAAAAACACAAATAATCAGTGTGGAAAGACTGTTTGTCCAAATTAATCACAGAGTGTACAAGTTAATATTAGTCGGTCTCTTCCATAGTCTTCTGCGCGGCCGTTGTTCTGGCATCATCACGCAACACGCTTCGTGTAATACTCAGTGGTGGTGAAGGAAGGGGGGCGGAAATTCTGGGGAACCGGGAGGTACAGGCCCCTCCGCACCCCCATTAGACCTGTGAGTATTTTTACTACTTGCCTGACGCCAAAATTCTTAAAAAAAAGAATCCCATAATTCTATTCAACTTCGAGTATTTAAAATTTACTACTCCAAAAATTACTCGAATTACTTCCGACGCTCAATTAGAAATTCTGCGTGTTTACTGAGGTAAGCAAAGCAACACAAATGCAGTTCTCGAATTCCTTTCCACGTTCAACTGAAATTAAACTGAACATTTCTACTCACCTGTACAGGAGAGAAGATTCCACACAGTTAGATACCGATTGGTGATGGAGACCAAGTACTGTGAGGAGCTGTTATGTCCAAACTTGATCCGCCTTTAAAGGGAACAATACATAAAACAGTAATTCACAAAATAAGGGGGGAATTTTGTAAAGAAACTATGGTGTTGCTCCAGTAGGGTTATAGTAAGATAATTTGGTATGATCAACTGAGTCGATAAAGTACATTGGCCACCGTACAGAAATTACAAAACTAATGTTTCGGGCTTTAGCCCTGTCCATTTGCTCCGATTAAAGCGCTTACTCTCACAATGTCAGCTTTAGAAATTCTCCACATTAACTTACAAACACAACTCAATCATTCAATGCTACATGTGCTATCATCAACGTACAGGTGTGATCAATTCATATACGCATTATACAAATTTCATAACCATTTATAGGTTCCCTGGAAAGAGATGTTTTGTTATTTTCTTGGGTAATGCTGTAGAGACATAGAATGAAGTCTGCCAAGCGACCATATAGAAAATGTTTTTCTTGGCTCCTATTTGACTCAGAGAAGTACGGACAACTGCTCTGAGCTTCGAAAGGGCCGAGTGGCATTCAGAACACCTGTGCGTGTAACACGCATGTAATTGAGTGTAGATGAGTTAATAACAAACTAAAGAATTGTGCGAACAAGTAATATGACGTATCTGACGTGACGTAATATGAAGTCTTACTTGATCTCCTCATCAGGGTAGGGTAAAGCTAGAGTCTTTCTCAGCTCATTTGTACTTGGGGTCCATAGAGTGATAACCTACATGTAAAATAAAAAATAATGATGATAAAAATAAAAAATATTGTTTCCTTGATAGTTGAACCATATAGTTTTATTATTTTGTAATTTTACGACTAACATGGTTTGTATAGATAAAAACATGATTTCGAGTGCAATTTTAAGTTAATAGGCACAAGTGAATTTTTCAAAGACAACAAAATTGCACGAGCGAGTAGTGTTCGTGTAATTTGCAGTTTTTGAAAAATTTATAAGTGCTTATTTACACCAAATTGCACTCGAAATAACATTGTTACTTGTTAATAACTTACATGAAAAACGCATCACAGATATTCAAGACCGACGACATTTTGGCAGCGCGCGCGCCATTTATAATTTGCACTCATGTTACAACTTTGCACTCGAATTACATGAGAATGCACTCGTTTTCAGCCAATCAGACGCGCGTACTTTTTCCATGTCTATTACTCACTGCATAATTACAGTTTAAAGTGCAGCTTGCCAATACGTACATGTATGAAAAAAAGCTATTAGGACCGAGCTAAATGTACCATCCCACAATGTAAAAAAAAGGAATGAGTTCATTTAGAACTTGGTTTCTTTGCAACACTTGCCTCCATCAATGAATCAAGAAAAAGGAAAATATTATTTTCCTGGGTAATGCTCAGTAGTCAGATGGGGGGCTACCAAGCGACCTTTGGAAAATTTTCTTCTTGGCACCGTTTTGACCCAGGAACAGCAATGTTACACTGTAATGGGCTTCGATAGGGCCTCTTATTGTACTAACAGACGAATATTAGCCTAATAAACCTGAGTTGAGGACATAGAGAATGAGGAACACAAGAAATACAGGGACAGAGGAATGAAGGAATGAAAAAACGCGGAATGAACACAGTGATAAAGCAACAAAACCAATGAACAACGAAACGAATGAACGAAGAAAGGAAGCAAGGAAAGAACAAAGGTAAGAATAAACAAACAGATGAACGACCAAAAAAATACAAGTACAAAAGGACACAAAATGAACACATGCACAAGGGAGTCAATGGAAGAATGAAAGGAAGAAAAACGAAAAACAAACAATGGTATAAGTGATATGAGAACCCAGTACAATACATTAACCCTTTAACCCCTAAGAGTGACCAGTATCTAACTTCTCCTTACAATGTCACCTCTGAATCACACATTAATGTCATGAGAATAAAGGAAGTGATCACCAACTCAAGAAACTCTTGATTGTTAGACTAATTCTCCTTGTCAGCACCTTAGTAAATGTGCAGAGAACAGTATGAAGAATATAAATACTGATCTTAGGGTGTAAAAAAGGTTAATGAGCCAAGAACCTTATCATAAGCCACTGCTAGGAGAGATCCATCCTGTGAGAAAGCTGCATCTTGGCAAGGCTTGTCACCATAGTAACCAACTGATTGACAAGACCAAGAGTATTCCTTCCCTGAAAGTACAGATAAGATGGTTACACATTACCCTACAAACAGCATACCATTCATGGCTGCAAAAAAGGGCAAAAATAAACTCACATGTATGTTGTGATAGTATTTCGGATTTTTACACAAAGATAAACCATGTCCTTCAATGCAATCAGCAAAAGTTTTAAGGTTGGAGGGAAGGTGAGCAAAATGAAGGGGGGGCAGGAGGGATTTTGTTGAGTAATTCATATCTTTTCTGTCCACTTTGAAAACACTATAAGCAAGTCCTACATCAAGGTGTCCATAGACATCAAGCACTGCTGAATAGTATTGAAATGTTTAGCAGTTTTTGTGATTTTCCTTGAAATTCTTGATTTCCTTTGCCCTTCAGGAAATTCCTTGAGAGCACAGTATGTGGGATGCCTCTCCAAAGGTCTTTTTTTTTCCTTTCAACCCCACACATCTCTCTTGAAATTTTCTGTACATTAACTTTTTACATACACATGTACCTTTGATAGCTGTTTCTTCAGCCAAAAGCCAAATCTTGAATTTTCCATCCCTTCCAGCAGTCATGGCAAGAGGAGGTGTACTTTCATCTCTTTTCTGCTGAGGTTGAAACTGAATGGCTACAATCTTCTTATCGTGAGGTGAATCAACACAGGTGTTTGTAACATAACTAGAAAACAAGAGAGAACAAGAAATTAAAAAAATGACTGCACTGAACTGTGGACAAAAATGGCCAGCCTTGAAGTCTAGCAGGATCAGGCTGCATTCTTGTGCAAGACACTTCAATCTCACTGTGTCTCTTTCTGACCTATGAATATAATTAGGTACTTCTGAAAAGTCAAAGAATCACAATGAATTGCAAGGTATAACCTTGTGATGAACAGTATGAGGGGAAGCAGAGGTACTGCCTGATTCTTCATGCAACAGAAACAAGGTAAAGTTTCAGATGAATAGCTTCTCTGGTTTGCAAGCTGACTTTACCTTAAGTCACAAATATAGTAACCTACTGAAATTCAGGAAACAAAGATGCACTTGACGAGTCTTGTAGATGTAAGTCAGCTTTTATCAATATTCAATTAATGGATTAATGATCATACCACTGATCGCTTTGGTTGTATTCCCAGAATTTGAGTCTCAATTCCATTGCATTTTTCTTGTCATCTCTTCTTTCAACCTAATTAACAATTGCGATCAGTTTCAGCAACTAACATGTGTATTCAACATTAACAAACATTTAAAATGTGTACATGTACAAACTGTATGTGTAAGTGTGAAAACAGTATGAAGACTGTGCCTAAAATTTCCTGTTACAAGTGCCTGGGTGCAAGGAGACATGTAGCTTGTATTTTTCCAAATCTGTAACTGACCCAAAGAAAACAGCATCTTTCCCTGTGAACATGGACCTACATGTATGTAAAGTCATCAGGGAATGGCTGAATACAGCCCTAACTCAACTGGATGCAACATCTGTACTTCTCTGTTTCACCAGGGCACACAAGACATGTTGTGAGAAGAACCTACCAGTCTATCAGATCTCACTTAAGGTTTTTTTTTAATTAAACAAGTACAATATCTCTATGGAGATCACATTGTCACCAGAATTCAATTCTCATTAATTTTTTCAGAGATAAGTAACTCACTGTTGCCAACCAGCTTCCACTGTCATTAAATGCCATTTGATCAACCTTGGTGCAGACTACCTGCTCCTTCTTTGTTCTGACAATAATGTTCTGTCTTACAACATCAAGCTGAGATTAAAAGTTTAAAAACGAAAAAACAAACAATAAATGGTTAAGATGCAATACTTTTTCTGCACAGATCTAGGACAAGTAAGATTTAACAGTAACAACTGCTGTAACATCTTAAATACTACACGTACATGTATCAGACATGTAAAGTATATTACAATCAAAAGAAAAAATTCATTTTGAATGTACACAATTTATGACGACATTATACAAAAGAATCAATTCTCCACTACAACAAATAATGTAAAAGTAATTCAATCTTCACATATTTCATCTAAATTATTTCAGGTAAATAACTTACAGAAAATGCATGATGATCACTTTGTGGAAGGTAAAACTGTAGAACACCAGGCTTGTTACTTGTCACTAGGCCTTTTGAGCGTGGATCATACACAATGCCAGCAAAAAGATTATCAACTATAAAAAGACAAAAGAGACAATACATTGCACAATCATGTACATTGAGTACAATCAAGTAGAAAACACACAAAGGCAGTCTGTTTTTCTCACAATATGGAGCAATTAAAGTTTTTGGCAAGAAGAGATAAGGGCAGTAATAGATTGTAATGACAAGAGAATGCTGTAAGAGACTGTTGCTGAACAAAATTTCCTTTCAGTTTGATAATTTTCCAGAAAAGGAGAGACCAAAAGTTCTTGCTTCTTTATCTTCAAATGCTTTGATAGCCTCCTATTATATCAGCCAGAGTGCACTTTAAAAAAAGTGCTTTCCATTGCACACCATGAACAAGAAAATAAATGTAATTTTTATATTTGAATAATAATTATGCATTTATGCCATACAACCATTATGGCTGATGTTTAATTCAAGTTCAAGGGATACCTACTTTGCCTCAATCCCTGAATTGTCCGTTTAATCTTCCATTCAGTATTGTTAACTAATCTAATAACTGAAATTTAAAAAAGATACAAACAATTAATGATACTGTATTTGTTGACATCTTTTCAAAGAGGAAGAAACCAATCCCAGGCATAGAATGGTAACTTAATTGGGACAATTACCAAAACAAAGCAGCTAGTTAAGAGATTGTCATCTGAGTGGTACTCATTTCATGTATAGTCATGTCTCATTATTTAAAAAAATTTCATTACTTTTCAAAAGTTACAAGATGGTCAAAGGTAAGTCCACAAATTTCATTTTCTGTAGTACAATTGCATGATTGTACATGTAATTCTTAGATTGAACCTAGCTCTTTCCATCTTGACTCCAGAATGTTAACCATCAAGCCTCTGAACCTTTCACTTCTTAAATGATGTTCAATAAAATTAGAATCATTTTGATCATAGATTAGACCTGCTGCCCATAAATGACTGACAACATACCATTTTCTCTTTGACTGACAGCTGTCAATGAATCATCTGGACTGATAGCAAGATGGTTTATAGGTGTGCTTAATCTGGGAAGGAAGACTTGATGATCTGTCTTATACTGCCACAACACCAATACACCTTCCTCTCCACCAGAAAACATATTTGAACCTGAGACATGTACAACATAATGAAATGCCTATCAAATATGGTGCTGTATGTATTTATGATGTCAATCTAGTTGTGCAATCAACCTCATACAGTATACGCACATGTACATCATGTATGTGCAGCTGCACTCTAAGCTGTCTAATTTAGTTCCCATGACAGCTTTAAATAAAGTTGAGCTGAGAGTCTTCGGCATAGCTCTCAGTAGGACTATTGTAAGTAAAAGTGATTTGCCATCAACAACAGTCCTGTTCAGTCCTCACCAAAAATCATTCTCCACGATCAACTGATCTCCCTTGGTTCAAACTGTTTTATTGTCAGTAAGATGTGAACCCATTCAGTACAGTATTGCTTAAAGAGAAGCTTTTTTTAAGTCTGTAGAGAGAGACTTGTAGCTACCACTTACTATGAGGTAAACATATATAATTATTATACAAGCAAGTAAAAAAAAAAAGACAAGTCAAATCATCTTACCATCGTGAGAAAAAATAATATCAGAGACAGGATTAGGATGCCAGTGAAGAACTGAAGTAGCAGGACTTTCTAACTGATCCAAACCTTGCCTAATAACAGAAAGCACAGTCATGTACATGTGTAAGGTCTGCAAAACTTATTACTGCGTTATCCACTCAGAGACCATAATTATTACAAAGAACCCAAAGACACTGTAGAGGGCTGAACACATGCAGAAACTGCAAATTGTTCAGGCATTTTAATTCAAATATTTACAAGTAAACTTCACCATTTCATAAACCATCCTTTATCCTTTGTGCATGACCATAACTTAAATAACATTAAAGTACCCACTAATTCCTGCATCTTTTAAGTTTAATGGTTTACCTTAAGCACAGAAGGTAAAAAACAAAAATGCATGCAGTCTTTTTACAAAGAGTTAGACAAATTTCTCTACATGTATATCATAGTCTGGTAATTCCACAACAATCATGTACACTACCACCATAATTAGTTGGGGAAACTACATTGTACTGAATAAATTACTGACTTTGTAGCTGACTTAATCAGAACAAGCTACACGTAATTCTAAAAGTCTGGAGGTAAATTTAATCAAATGTACTAATATTCATTCCACTTCACACCACTTTGTTGTGATCCTTGAAAGACAAAATTAATTGATACCTTTGGACAGGCATACATATACAACATGTAGACTTTCATCAGCACGTTCATGTTGGACATTTTGCAATCTGGTCATGAGGAATCCTTAGCTACTCACCACAAAATAATCTCCCCGCTACCACATACACCAGTAGCAACACAAGCTTCTAAAGGATGAAAGGCTGCACATGAAAACTGTATGCGTCTGTATGAAAACCTGGCAAAAAAAACAACAAAATAACAACAAAACAAAGAATTATTATTAAAAAGAAGTACAAGAAACTGTAAACTACAATTACTGTAAAATACAGTGAGTTCTTCACCTACTATCCTATGGTCTAAATGATACACACTATGCAAAACCACACCAAAATGGGGTCAAAAAGCACCACTGACAATAATGATGAACACTGTATTTGAGAATGAGGACTTACAGTACATGTAATTTTGAAGTTGTTCTAAGTAAATTTGTCCTACTAAAAGGCAAAAATGCATACTTCTCAGTCAAAATTTTTTAGCGCATGTATTGAAAACTGCATGAACCATTTCTCATGGGGTCATCTCACACAAAGCATGGCTTTGTATACGTATCTTTTAAGTACAAGTACATTTACACTTCAATGCAAAGCACATCACTTACGTATTTAATTTTCCAGAGAGGAAGTTCCACAAGTGTAGATTGTTTTCCTTCACAGTTGCTAATAAGTTGCCCTGGTTGAAAAGAAAACAAAATTTTCATTAGTGCATCCTCAAATAACATGTAAATTGAGGAGATTTTGAGGCAAAGAAGGAAATTTAAATTAAGCTCCTACAACCATGTGCCAAACTATTGAAGGAAAAAAGGGTAATAATTTGAAAGGTCAAAAAGTAATATTCAGAACTAGTAAATAGTGGATTTTGATCCATTTTCCACTTGTTCATCCTTACTCTGTTGAATATTCATTAGCACTTACATCACCACTCATTGTAGTCTGTTTGGAGTTGCCCGATGTATGAAGTATCACTTTTAACTTTGGTTTGTCAACTTTTTTACAATATCTTGGATTGTACACAGACAAGCTGTACTCTTCTGGTTCAACAAGCTTTTTTTTCTTTTCTTCCTTTGATTTTCTCTTCTTACCTAAGACAGTAAGCAACAGATTCTAAGTTCCACAGCTCCAGCTCAACTCTTCTATTCTCTATAAGGTGACCTGAGCTCATAATGGGTCGCCAGAAATAAAATTTGAGCCAATAAATTCGACTTCATACATGTATTTGTGTTTTCTTTTGGGATGTTAGCACAATAACTCAAAGCATAATACGCAAACAAACAAGTAGAAAGAGGCACATTCTTATGAAAGAAAACAGCAGAACATTCAAATTTTTCATTTCTTGTGTGCACATGTTTATCTCAACTAACCTCTTGACCATAAACACCTGGCAACCTAAAGGTTTTGCCTTGCTACACAACCATCAAACATAGGTTTCCCAATTGGTGACAACCATTCCATATTTAATGTTTTGAAATATGATCTTAAACCTTTTTGACTTGCCACATTAAAGGTGCTTGTGCATGTAATATACTGTATGTGTACCTTCTAGACAGGTTCAGATCATTGAGATAGATGACCACACAAATAACTAAACACCGTTAAACAAACCAGTAAGCAGATTTGAAACTTTTACAACTACCAATTGAAATTTAAGGCAATGACATCTAGTCTACAAGGTTCTTTACCTTTACATGAGGTTTGCTTTATCAAGAACACCGATTCATTATGTGCTGAGTGAACCATCAATCCTACTAAAGAACCCTCAAATCTGTATTTCTGTTGAAAAATAACCCATCAATTCTGTAAAATCTAACACCAAAAAATATACAAAACACAAATCCTGATGGTAAAGTGAATACAGAGTAATTATGTGTACATTGTGGTTAAAATATAGTTTTGATTTACAATTTCACAATCAAAATCAGTTTAACCCTTTAACTCCCATAAGTGACCAAGACAGAATTTCTCCTTCCAATATCAATTCAATGTCAAGCAGACAAGTGATGAGAATATAGAAAAATATCAGTAAGGGGATTATAAGTTGATCCAATACCAAATTCTCCAAACTAACATCACAAAAACTGTATGGCAGACAGTAAAGAGCATTATTAATGAGATCTTGGGAGTTAAAAGGTTTATGATTTGTTTCCCTCAATTTCAGAATAAGGTGATAAATACAAAAAAAAGTGAAATCAAAAGAAAACTGATATGAAAAATTCTAGAGCCACTGAAAAGTTTGAACACCAGCATATTAATTGTCCTTGTGAGAATCAATTGATCTAGACTGCAACATAAATTGTACTTTGATCAATGCTTACCTTAATAATCTGTCCATCTGTATAATCCCAATATATGACATCTCCACTGACTGCGCAGGAAATTAACTAGAGGCAAAACATGGACTTAACCTTTTACAATCTAAGAGTGATATGCATCTAATTTCTCCCAACAGTATCACTGCTCTATCAAATATTAGGTCATGGGAATAAAGGTATTGGTCAGAGCTCAAGGAGCCCTTGACTTTTAGGTTAATTCTTCCTGTTAGTACCATAGATATGTATTAAAATAGTACAGAGAACTTGCATACTGATACTAAGTGTAAAGGGTTAATGGAAATGTTCACTGCATCATGAAATCCTACATTTAACCCTTTAATTCCCATGAGTGACCATGACAGAATTTCTCCTTTATAATATCAATACAATATCAAGTAGACAAGTGATGAGAATAAATAAAAATATCAATTAGGGGATTATAAGTTGATCTAATACCAGATTCTCCAACTAACATCCCAAGAACTGTTTGGCAGACAGTAAGGAGAATTACTAATGACATCTTGGGAGTTAAAGGGTTAATATACAGCTTGTGATGCAGTAACCAACACAAATTCAAATAGGAAAACAAATTCAAACTGTACACAGACCCACATCCACAACGATTTAAACAGCAAACCCCAAGGTGGACTGTTTACATGAAATTCAAACCCTTTGAAAGTACAAGTATTATCTACAGTAATCACAATAGTTTAAGATGACACCGAATTTGGTAATTAATACTGCAACAAAAACTGCTCTTGCTTTTTCACAGGACAATGCACACTTAGTGACAAAATGTTGAAAATTCAGTTCTTATAGACAAAATACATGTAGATTCCATGTAATTGCCTGCATATGTACAGTACAAAGAGATTGCAGATGAAGTTAAAATGTAGTAAGAACAAGAGGGGCACATAAGGTGTAGCAGAGTGTGTCACTGATGTTCTTACCACCTTTTGACGTATTCTGTAATCTATTATTGGAAAGAGTTATGGTGTATAGTGTATAGTGTGATAAATAATTACTGCATTACTGAATGATGTAAAAGTACTGTTATCAAGTAACATGATTGCACTAGGTTATTAGATAGTTGATCGTTGACTACAGGCAGGATATAGAAACCAGTCGAAGAGTTAGAGTTTGCACTAAACGAATACACAACACATGGCTACTCAGAATCTCTTGGTTTCATATCGTAAAGAAAAGTGTTGGTTATGGTAATGTTATCTGTGTCCGTCCCCTAATACATCATAAGGAAGAACCAAAATAAAAATGATCGTATAATTCAGTTTATTATAGAAAGGTATATATTATAAGACTACGTAAGCTTAAAATTGAAATTAATTCACTGCACTGCACAGAGCTCGCGATTTAAAAATCCTCCACAATCTAACTCGCTACCTGTACGAACCTGTAAGTGATTTTTAGGGTTGATTTTAAAGTCTGTAACTTTTCCTTCGTGTCCTTGGAGTTCTCGCAATAAATCTCCCGTTAACGTGCTGTACACACGTATTTTTCGGCCGCAAGAGCAAAATAAGATCCTGTGGACATTAACAAACAATCAGGACTTCGACGCCACGACTTAAATGAACTTTGCGATTTACGACACGAAATGACGCGATTGATAACATACTTGGAGTCTCTGCTGAACACTGTTCGGTGAGATACCAGAGATTCACCCCCAACAAGGCGAACCGATCCAAACCGTTCAGATATTTCGTCTTCCTCGGGCACCATTTTGAAAATCTGCACGTGGTAAGCTTAGTAGTGCTCAGCGGTTATGTGGAGTAGTAAGGTAGATACGTCATGTTTTCCATTTCGAGGAAGAATTTCAAGATGGCTGACGAAAACGCATGGGAACCATTAGTTGAGACTTTGACAAAGTCCTTTTCGAATTTATCACCGCAGATTTTACCTGGAATGCATGGCGCGAAAAAGGTTGTATCATTAGTTCAAAATTTACTCTAAAGAGGGCTTCATACCTTCAGGTTTAAATGCGAGCTTGTAAATTCACGGTTTTGCTACAACTAATAAAAGATTATTTCGAAGGTCTTACAAGCTCTTCAGTCTGGTTTGAACGATCCTCGTGAAAGCAGGGCGGAATTAGAGGTATGATTAAAGTTTTTAGTTAAACTAGGAAATTCGTAGTTGTCCTTTCTAACTTTATGGATACATAAAAGTGAGATACATCTAACATCCGTAAGATCACGACTGTGTCGACGTCATTTTTGAAGCAAAAATAAATATTCATCTGCTACGCACTTTTGTGCCTGTTTCATGTATTTTTGTGTTCTTTAAGCATCGTGTGCTTATTGTTTGTTTTCCCAGCTTGAGGCTGCTTAACATTTCAAGACTCCATATCAATTGTTGCTTATTTGTATATTACCATTGTCTTATGAGTCCTGATTTATCTGTGAATGTGAAAATTCCGTAAAGAAAAGAACGCATCTCATCCATAAGATGTCGTTTGTGAGACATGCAATGTACTTGAGCAGCCATTTTGATTTCTGTTTGCCCATTTCAAACCACGTGATCACATAGCTAAAAAAGTCCATTGGCTACAACTTTGCACATGTGTAATAACTTTGCAATCATGTTACATGAAAAATGCACTCCTTTTCAGCCAATCAGAACTGCATGAATTTTTCATGTATATTATTAGTAGTGTAACAGACTGAAGTTTTGTTAATGAGTGGGAGTGGTATGAGAAATAATATACATTTTATATGTTTGAAGATCCATTGTAAATGGTGTGGCAAAGTAGTTTCCAAGGACAGTGAGACTTTGGACATCCCACAGGATTCTGTGGTGAGTAACATTTATTGCTCAACAACCCAAAAAGTCAGGTACTATTTGGTTGGGAAGAAAAAAGGATTAATGCATTGAAATTGTATAATATGCATCTTTTTAATTTGTCAGAAAACTGTGGAAAGAATACTAACTTGGCATATAGATTGGACTAAAAGGATTCTGAAGATTAAAGGGGCAGAGGTTAGTTTTGAAACTTTAATAGATTTCGTTTCTCCTGTAGGAGGGAATATGGATTGCAAACATTTCTCCATCATATGACTTGACTGGTAATCATGCTTATTCTTCATCTGTGGTGGCAGCCTTTACATTAACATTGTCATTTGTCATTTCTTTGGATAGAAGACACCTAAGTTTTAAAGCCTTTCTCAGAGTAAATGTGTGATGTTCTTGAGTGACACGATGTTACACTGTTCATCTTAGTTTACACATAGGAGCATCACTGGGTAGAAGAGGCAGTGTCAGAGAAATTTGAGAAATTACCAGTGGGAGTTGTTGTGAATGTAGACTTTTGCAAAGTTCCTTTTTGTTGGGCATGACAGAGTCCATGGTCTGGGGGAAAAAGACTTTTCTTTCCAATGTAATATCATTTTAATTTTTTACATGGAGACAATAGTTTTAAATGAAAGTTTGGCTTTGTTTGCTTGGTTGGCTTGCTAAGTCTTTGCCCTTTGTGGGAGCACTAGGTATCTAGGTAGGCTGTCAGAGCTGTTAAAATATGGAATGCTTATCACCTTTGGAAAAAAGCCTTCTGGTCCAAACTCCTTACTTAGTTCTTTTCATCAAAATGATCCACACTTGAAATCACATGTTCTTACCAGTATTCCAAAGTATACTATAATATTCTCAGACAATCCCTGAATTGCTTTCATTTAACATTGTAGTTTTGTTGTCAAGATTGTCATTTGCTGTTGAACCTTGCAAAGCTACTGAATTTCCTGTTGTCTTCAGATAACTCTTCAGACAGTGCAAAGGTATGTTGGCTTGAATTTTCCTGCCTGTGCTTGGAATACTTCAGTCAATGATAGACCCTAAGGGCTCGTTCTTTGCACAAGGTCTAACCCAAACCACAGTTTTACGCAAGTAGAGGGCCTTACATATTCTCTGTAAGAGGGTTGTTTTAATGAAATGAATGCCCTTCCACTATTAGCTTTCAGCCCTCTTGAAACTGTTTGCAACAATAAATGCTCAGATAAAATACTCAGCTTAATTCCAGATAGTTTAGGAAGCAGTTTAGTTACATGACAGCTAAACTTTGTTTAAACAACAGGCCCTTAGGGTTTTCATTAGTAGATATAGCAGGAGAATTCCAATACTTCACAGGAAATATTCCCCATGTCTGAAAAAAATAGTACTCACTTCATCTAGATTTAGTCAGAGATTTCTGAGTAGAAGCCACAGAATTGTATGGTGTAGCGAGATAACTCTCAAATTTATGTCACCTTATTAATACCCATCTCCCGAAATGGTAGCAAATTTAAACTTTATCATTGTGATAAGGAAAGCAACAAGCGGGAAATTAAAGGAGGAAATACAAGATAAGATTTCAAGCATCTAAAATATCATCTTCAATTAATGAAAAGTTGAAACTGTCATAGTTTGACAATTTTATTTCCTTGAATAAAGCAGCCACGCCCTAATAAGCTCCCACACTCTAACAAGCACCCACCCCCACCCCTCTTGGTCATAATATCAAACCAAGTGCCTTTCTTGACCTCTTGAAAGAGTGCCCTCCCCCCTTCTTCTTCACTTTCATAAAATTAGGTTAAGAGGAAAACTTATTCTTAAAAGTTTTTGAGCTTAAAACACAGTAGAATAAGTACAGGTCAATAAATTCTTTAAAATGTTCTCCCTCCCTTAAGCGCCCTCCATCTGATAAGCGCCCTGTGTACATAAGTTTTCAAGACCAATTACTTTAAACACAAATGTTTCCTGTTTATTTTTCCACTTCCTCTCCAGCTGTATTCTTTGGCCTCCCACTTCTGTCAAATAAATGGACACACATCTCAGTCAGGAGAAGACGACATCATGTTACTTCAACAAGCTGTATCTGTTGTTCACTCTCTCCATGTGCTAACAAAGTAGGCATTGTACTGAATGATTAACATAGCAGTTGTATCTTCTGTACCTCTCCAGACTTTTTCCAGACAGAAATGCAAGAGAGGACACATTTTGACAAGGCTAGATGAAACAGTACATGTAGCAATATTTTCCATTCTAATTCACAACGATAGGGGTTTAATTCTCTTCAACTGTTTCTAGAAACATGCCGGATTTGCAAATTCAAGGACCAGATGGCAAAAGCGTCACATTGGACACTGTTTGTGACGTGTTAAACCATTTTTCTCCACGTTTGATGTCAAGCTCTTCCCCAAGGTCTGCATCAAAAACAAAACAGAAGAGGATAAAAGCGAAAAGGTTAAACGACGATCTTAACATCACCAAGAAATTAGATTCCTCGATGACTGAGCTTAAAACGAATTCTATAAAGAAGAAAAAGATGGGAGTGGCTTCTGAACCTCATGTTAATGGAAATCACACCAGCGATGATGAAGGCGCGGTTGAGGATGATCATGCCAAGGAAACATTTGAGGTATGTTAGAGGTATATATTTCTGGTAGAGAAAAAGCTGGCGTTAGCAAAGCGAGCGGAGGAGGTGATTTTATGAAAGGGTTTAAAATCACTGGCGTGTCGTACATTTATTTCATAGGAACTTTTTATCAGTCTATTGACGTAAACAAAATGGACAGTTTCACTTTGACAACTACCTGTCACTTTACATCAAAGTAATGCTTAGAAGTTAGGAGGAAGACAGTCTTGGATCACGGAGAGTTTCACGTGCGTAGTCGCGTCTGGTGTTCGGTCTGCTACTCGATACTCGATTTTCAACCGAGAATTTTAAGTTTCATTACGTTTTCTTTCAGGGCTCAGCAAAAAGAAAGCATCTTATTGTATCCGGAAAGAGGAAGAAAGGTACAGCTGGGAAAGTGAAACTCGGGAAAAAGAGGAGGTGACTTTCCGCCATTAAACTTAATTGAAAAGACATTACGGCCGGTTCGTGAAATGCGATCAAGTTAACCGTATTATTGACGTATAGTCTGTTTTTGGATGATCTCCACCCCAGCTCCCGAAGTTGTAATCGCCCAATCAAGAATAACTCTAGCTTGCGAACAGGCACTCATTATTAGCGCTGCGGAACGAGCGGGATCTGGCCTTCAGTATCGTTCCCAGACCCCCCTGCGGACATTTTCGGACAAATTGATGACCCTTAGAGATGTAATTTGGCACAGGCTTCCGACATGATTACGTTTTCTTATTTCCATTCAGTACTGCAATGTATATTAGGTTCGTTAAAAGCAAGACAAATTAGTCAAGTTGTATCAGATTCCTGTACGTTTACTGGAAAGATAAAAGAATAATTATTAGTTCTCTGCGGCTCTAACTTTTTAAGAGGACTACCTAACTTGCCCACACACGATTTTTTTTTATAAAAACATCGATAAAACAGTTTTTTAAAGTGTATTTCGAATTATTGGACTACGAGCAGTCTCTCCTTTGCAACAAAGTCCGTCGCTCAAATCAAAAAAATATTTAATGAAAAAAATATTGATATTAGTGGGCCGCGGGGAGCTCCGGAAGTGAGGCGCTTGCACAACGGACTTCGCCGAAAGGGAGGGGCAGCTTGCAGTCTAAATGCATATGTTTGCTCTCGACAAGTTTGCGTATTTAAGAATGTCTTTATTACCAAGAGTAAACACTTTTGAAACAGATAGAAGCAGAAAGAGATTAAACAGAAAAGATATAAGAAAAACAGAACTAGAAAAATTGACCCAGTTTTCTGCCATCATAATGCTTTTGAAAAAGTGTGAAATGAGCCACTTCTCAGTGAATTGCTCGAGAAGTTTTTCCCTTGTGGAACCTCTTAAAAGTTACATGCGGAAGGGCCAAGATAATACTAAATTCTACTATTTTCAAGCGTTGTAGAGATTGAAGGTTGCTAAAACCAATTTTATATCACAAAGGACAAACAGGATGTAGTATTAACGACTGATGAAGTTTACTGATAGACTGCTAAAGAGTCGTAATTGTAAGGATTGTTCACAATCTTTGTCGCTTTGCGACCAAGATATGCTACTCCAACCAGCGCCATGATGGAAGCTACTGTTAGCACCACTAGAACAATGTTTGTTGCACTAGGAGCCACAGACGTACCTGAAACAAGAAAATCCAATGAAAATGAAAATTATTATTTGAAGCCCTATGCTCGCTGACTGCTACTTCGAGTTCAGCATATGTGGGCGTCAACTCCCCGTCATTATTCTTCCACTCATATCGTTGGGAAGAAAAAGCTGCAAGCTTTACCAGGATTGTTTAGACTTCGAGGGGGTAGTTTGTACCACAACTGAATTATCGAGAATTTTAATCTCATAAAAGTTAAAATAATGAAAACGACAATGATTTCGTATGTCATGGGTAAATAGGAGTGGGAGAGGGGAGAGAGGGCTTGTGTGCCTGGCGCGAAACTCGTTCATCAGACCACAGAACCAGGTCGAAATTTGCCTTTCTCTCAATAAGAATAAAACAAAGATGGATTATCTCTTTTTCACGCATTGAGTTTGTTCTTGCACCCTTTTCTGATTCCTTTACGTACTTGTCTCTTCACGAGTAGCGATTATTTTAATCGGTGCTGGTCCGGTCAGAAGTTTTTAAATCTTCTGATCTCATTGAGTGAAAGAGCTTTGATTCCGATCTCTTTTACCCACATTTCTAAAGCTTTAAATTAAAGGTATTAGCAACTTACGTTTGTTTTTTTGCTTCACATCATGGTTCATACCAATCCCTTTCGCATCGGCGAACACTTTCTTAGGCCTTGGCTCTCTCTTGCCATTTCTTTTAGCATGTTCGAGTAAGACTGGACCTATGGAGGTTAAGTCAGTAGAACCCAACACCCCTCTCTTTTGGAAACGCGTAGCAGCAGCACGTTTCATGAGATGGCGTAATTCAATCTCGGCATCTGTCTTCTTTGATACCTTGGGTTGATCTTGAACCTTATTCTTGGTTATCGAAGGTGCTTTCACTAAGACTTTAGCTGCAGCTTTCACGGTGCTCTTCTTGCTCGCCGAGCGAACCTCTGCTTTCTTGCTGGTACCTGAGGCCACCACCTTCTTGACGCTCTTTCCGTTCGGCTGAGCTAGTTTTTCTGGAGTCTGAGCTTTTTTAATCTTCCCAGGATGATCTTGCACCGGCGGCTTACCGAATCCTGGCAGGCATCCCTTCGCACAGCGGGACTTGTTATCGTTAACATCGCACACATGGACACGGCAATGTATAAAGACGTAATCGTGGTTGCCAAGAAACTGGAACGCTTCGAAACTGAACCGAAATTTCGTCGGGTCAGAGGAGGAATGGAATTGAACTGTAGGGTCCCTGGGACAACTGGAGAGAAAGAAAAAATTATGAAAACACTAACTTTTCTTTCTGATCTATCCTTCTTGTACTTGTCTGAAATTAAAATGCATTATATGTATCTTGAAATCAATTCTATCAATGCGGTGATATCGAAGCAATTTTATTATAAAACTCTTCTGTTTTTTTACCAATATTTTTTTTTTTTGCTAGAAAGTGCAAAATGTCTGCGAAGTCGGGTCAGTTGTATTCTTAAGGCTGCTACCATACTTAATTGACGGTGGCACAGTTTTGAAAGATCAAGTGCGATGGAGCGGTACGAAATTTGTTTATGATCTGTTTGGATTGACTTTAACTTTTGTTGTCCTCTCTATGTTACAACACATGTGTTTCCTTCGGTCTTAATATTTCTACATTGTAAATAGGTTTGTTAACCTCTAGGCTTCCATACTGGAAAAAGAAATGAGAAAATTTTTCTTACCCTTCCACAATCAACGCGTGCCTGAATTTCATAGTAGCCTCGTGATCTTGCATTGGTGTCGAGCAGCAGTTAGATGCAAATATCTTTAGATCCTTCTCGCGAGTGTCCAACGATGCCTGCACGAAAACTCGCTCACGGAGATGAACTTCGATGGGGAAGTCGTCTTGTGTGTACTTCGCCGACGATGGCGCCAAAGCCCGAGATCCTTCTCCGTAACTCTCATCCTTAAATATGTCCAGACTCAAAGCGTATTCACCGCGTCCTTTAACGTACACGTGGATTTTCTGTGCTACCGGTTTGTATCCGACGGTATGGACAATTTCCAGGTCGTTGAAGTAGCAACTGAATGGAACTTTGATTTCGTTTACACCTACGTGGGTTATGACGTCCGAGTCTTCGTTAGGAGATTCGATCACCCTGTTGGTGTACACGATGAAGTTTTTGTACACGTGGGAAGTGGTTCCGCATTTTGTGATGTCTGTTGACAAGCTGTAGTGTGTGGCGTTACCATTTGCTCGACAGCTTGGGTCGATGAGACTCAGGTGCTCGTGATGCAGGTTGTGGATGAGGTTTTTGGGTAGAACGATCTCCATGTGATTTGTATCACAAGTAAGTTGAACACCAGGACCTGCAAGGATACGTACACCAAAGATAAGTACATTGTTCATATATTGTTACTATCCTTTTGGGAAAAAGGTTACCAAAAGTCAATTTCCCAGGTTGTATAATAATTCGGACACATGCAGTTGTTGATCAACAAATCCCGATTGGGGAACTATACTTTAAGGGAAAATCCAATGGTAATTTCCGTCTTTAAAACACAATGGAAATCCTCAACCTTTCATGAGCTCAGATGTGAGAACAATCTTTCTGCTTTTAAACTAAGGTGTATAAAGCATGAAAATCTAGCAGAACTGCAGCAAAAGTCGCAGTACTTGTATGCGTCTTCAAATTTTTTCATACATCCCGTTCGACTCAAAATATCGAGGACATAAAATATCTAAGACATGGGTCCTATTGACACCATCTACGTCTCTTGCGATGACATGCGTGAAAGCTCCTTTCGATAAACTGTAGGTCTTGCTAGTTGGCAAGACGTCGTTGGTTGAGTGTTTGTGTAAAATGCTTCAGGAAACTACGTACGCAGCGTACCTTTGCATTTCCTCTGATTTTTTGGATCTAATATAAGTGGAGGAGGACACTTGCACTTGTAACTTCCAGGTTTATTCATGCAGAGGTGACTGCAGAATCCATTGGCGGTATCACATTCATTCACATCTGGTGAAAAAACGCACAGATTATCAAAATGAAAGTACTTCAAGGAGAAAGTAGAAATCGTAATCTTTTAATTAAGATACGTTTATCGCAGAGATACACCAAATTTTTTCGTTCCTTGATGAATACCACATCAAACTAATCACGCTGTTGTCACTACAGCTGACAACACTTGTCGAACTGGATAATTTTATACAAAGCACGGTGCCTCTCGTGCTTTTAAATTTACTATTTTGAATGTTGATGCTGCGGTCAATGTTTTTTTTAGGTGACTCTCGAGATGACAGGGTCGAATTGTTTTGCTTCTTCTAAGCACCTTTCAAACTTTCAAAACCAAACGAGGTCTTCACACGCTCAAGAAAATTGACTTGTATCGCGTTCACATCGCAAGCAGCCAAAAAAAACGCAAAGAAACTACGCTTCATGGAACCGGTTCTTACGCGGGAAAACGTCATTGTTTGGTGAATCACTTTTCCATCAGATTGGTCGAGAAGATGGCGCGAGTCTTAAGAACCAATTAAAAGTTGTCGTGACGCTAAAAAAAATACAAGCACCGATTACCTTGGATGCTCGATAGAAAATTTCGCCTTCAACGAATTATAAGATATGTGAATACCTACCATCGCATTTGACAGGATCATCACCATTTGTCCAAGAGCCGTCCAACTGGCAACGTTTATGTCCCGGACCATTTCGCTGATATCCCTTGGAACACTCAAATGAACAAACTGTATCGACGTCGCTAGGGCCACTAGTGCAGGAATGATCGGTTATCACATGGGCTCCGACTTTAAGGGCCGGACACTTTTTCTCACCAGGTGCCGCAGCTGAAAATATATTTCAAATTTTTTTCTCAAATTTCTATTTCACTATCTAAGAAGGCTAAATGTTTCCTTAGACCACACTCAAAGGGCTAAAGCTTGGAGTAAAACTCGTTAAAGATAGGAGAAATTTTTCTCCTTCAGTATTATTTCGCGACTGACTTTATTCCTTTTTTGAATTTAGTGTATGCTTCACCCTGACTTTTACATGGTGGGAACAAATTAAAATGCAGGTGCCAAACATGGTGCAGCCATTTCCTTTACAACCATGACCGCTGTTTATTACGCGACAGCTCTTTCACTCGACTTAACCAGCTGGGAGCCTAGAACAGCTGTAGATTAGTGAGTGATAAAAACTGGGCCAGAACGACTCCTTTGGTCACTTTCTCCGTTTTACTACCTCTTATTTTTGCTAGCTCTAGTTCTCTCAAGGCTATGTGTTCATGTATTCACAGACACTAAGAGGTCATTGTGTATTGTGTCAACATACAGCTGTAAAGTGGAATTCTGCAAGGAGAAGTTTGCTATTGATCATAAAATGTTTAAGCACGGGGTGTCAAAAAACCTCTGACCCCACAATATTGAATTAAAGATGCTAAATGACAAGATATAATCTCGCAAAAAAAACCTTATTTCCCTTTTGTCAAATGATAAGCATTTTCACTTCAATATCTGGCCGTTTCCTTAGAGTTTTTAGTATCTTCTTCATGAAATTATCTCAAGATGCAGTTCCCATTTTCGAGTTCGATGCTCACTCCATGTTCCGACATGAATATGTTGAGTAGACGGTGGAATAATAGCACTTTGTAAACAATTATTTCTCAGCTTATAACTGAAATCGTAAATCGTTTCAAAAAGTCCAAGGCTCGATCGAAATGAGACTCCAATGCCGCTAGTAATAATAGATATCTACAATGAAAGCTAATGCTAGTGTAAGAAAATCTTAATTTATGTTCAATTGCAGTTAAAGGTTTTGATTAACAGGCAAATCAAATGGGTTGAAGTTGGAAAGTTATTAAAAGTTAATGCATCGGTGGCATGTAAGAAATTAAGTCGTAATTTTGCTCCCAAATGTTTGCGCGAATTTGTTTTAATATTTATCTATCTAGCTATAGAAAAGTCGGGAAAATATATCATTGCAACGAGTCAATGTTTTCCATAACATGGCCTAATGAATTTTTATGAAATAAAAAAATATTTTTGGCGAACTGAATCGATTTTGAGTCGTTAGAGTCTACATATCTGCTCTTAGCTACGGTGCACATGAAGGGATGAAAATTATAAGCTAGCTTGTACATAACAGATTTGTTTCCAGAAATGTGATCAATTATAAAGTTTATTGCATAGGGAATGTTTCATGTGTTTCATGTCATTAAAATTTATAGTGTGCTTCTCCTTTTTTTTTCTTATGACACTTTAAATGAAGTTTATCATTTCAGTGGATTTCAAATTTGTTTGCTGATAAAAACCGCATCTGAAGGAAAGTCGTCATTTCTAGCAGTTTCATTCAAAAATATTTCGCGCAGAGACTTGCATGCTTCAGAACGAAAATACAGAAAAATATATCATGTCAAAGCTACATATTTCAGTAACTGAGTAAACATTTTCGGAAACCGGCAAGGTGAACTGTGACAACTTATTCTAGATGAGCATATAAGAAGTCTTGCCATTGTAGCTATATCTCAGATTTATCAAACTATTTCAGATTCAAGAGAGTCACAACTTATGTTCTTTTATCATTAAACTAGGCTTTGTACTTTGCAGGTACATGAGAATTTATACTGCATAATTAAAACTGTAAGAGTACATGTTCACATATTGACGAAACTAAAGGATTGCATTGAAAAAGTCATAGAAATAAAGTCAGTTAACCTTTTTGAAGAGATGAAAAAGAACGAGCTGCAACAATAGAGTTATTTTTTTCTGGCTGTAATTTTTTGGGTTATATTTAAGCGACCTTTGTAACCACAGTTTAAATACCCGTTAAAAGACCCAAGTTCCTAGGAAGGTTCTAAACTTTCTTATTTAACTTGTTGTAAATTATGCTTTGATGCTAGTAGTCCACAGATGGCTTTTATAGAATTGCCTCAGCGAAAAAAACTTTTCTTGAATTGCAAAAGAAAGTTCATTCATAAACTCGCATTAACATCGGAAATGATATACGATGTTTTGACTAACGATTGCTTCTCAAATCGTAGATTAATCTGTAAAACTGGAAGAATATTCCACTTACGTATTTTAGCTGTAACATCGTCCAACAATGCAAGACATATTAGTAGTAGGTAACGGTACATTTTTGCTAGATTGGTAGAGGGAAAGGTTTTTCTTTCCCACACCCAGCAAAACCTAACTAAAGTCAACAAAATTTTGGACTTAAAAAGAATTTCAAGACGAGATTACAATGAGCTCTAAATTAACATAACAATCGCCTCCCACGAAACACTAAAAAACAAGATAGGTAAGGAGCCGAAATTTCTGTAAGCTTAAATTGTTTAGGTACAATAAACAAACTAAAAGAGGTACACGCCATGGCAGTGTAAACACATTTAAATCCCGGGATAATAAAAATTCCTCGGAAGGCAAGTTAATCGACGAGCAAATGCTTAAGGAATCACGATGGATTTTTTGAAAAAACCCTATTGCGTCCTTATCTGCCTTGATAAATTCTTGCTTATGTAGAGAAACCCATCACAAAGAATCGAATTTTTTTCATGGAAATAAAGAAAGCTAATGGAGGTTTTTTTTATGGGAAATGTTTTGCTCGCAGTGTTTGCTCAAATAAAGCCTTTGAATTATTCTGGGTTTAAAAACCACGTAAAAGATTGCATTTAAGGAATTGATGGATTTAAGTGAATAGCTAATAAATTGACACGGAATTTAAAAAGGGCGCAATCCGCCTCGCCTGTTTTTAATTTAAATAATGATGATCTAGATTTAAAACAGAGATAGAAGATTGAGTTACATTAACGTCACCACAAATCCGGATTGCACGGCTGGGGTCCAGTGTCGTCACTTTCGTTTTTGCCGTGGCAAGCATGGTGGTGAGAATGGATACCAGCCTGAGTTCATGTAAGCCCGACGAATTGCTAAGGTGAAATGGTACCGTAGTTAGTCTTTTCATTCAAATAAACTGGGATTATGTGCGGCTGTGATGTGTTATTGGCCTATCCGAGGCTTTTTTTTCCTTTCAGGCCTTCATCTCAGTGTCCCGATGAGATTGGAAGGTTAGGCTTCCACCTGATCTAGAAGCCTTGCTACATGAGCAGTATCTACTGTAATTTTCCGCAGATTTCACTACACTGCATATTACAGAGTTACTGCAGTCAGAGAGAAATTAAAACTTGATTTTATTGCCTGCATCAATTGCTGCAGCAATAAATTTTGGAAGACAAGTTATAGGAAATTCTGGGAGCTATCTGGCTCAAAGGGGTCCTTAATTCTGAAAGCTAATTCGTAGAATCGCTTTATAATTAAGGACCAAATCTCACCCACTTTGTTCTAGCTGTTGGTGCACAATTTCGGGACACATGTTCATTAAGACCGAAAAAAATATTTCCTATCCTTTATGTCTGTTCTGTTTAATAAAGGGCATTTGTATTCAAATATTTCTCGGCTCTTCTGTACGAAAGTTAAAAATTTTTCCGCGGCGTGTGTTTGTTATTTGATCCAGACTGTTCGTAAGGAGGTTTCGGTACTTGAAAATGAAAGAAATACTCATGATTCGATATTGTATTTAAAACAAAACAAAACAAAGCAAACAAAATTGACAGTAGTTAACTTTCGAAGTTATTTTATTCTCTTTGCTCTACAGAATCATTTATTAATCTACCTTAAGTAACATTAGCACATTCTAAAAGGAATATACCTCTAAGGAGCTATGGATTCAAAATCAACTTTGATCTAAAAATTGCTGCTTAACTATTTTTTAACAAAAGTAACTTTCATTTAAAGAAAATGGTTTGATATTTAGTATATAAAAAATAGAACTTACATAAAAGAAACCGCCATAAAGATTAAAAAGGAATTTGTTATTCGTATTTAATGTTTAGGATTTCCTTTCCGCAATAAGGAACGAAGTAAAAGAGTTTTTCAAAAGAATGAACAGAAAAACGCTTGTTCTGCTTTTTGTTTTACTATTTGTTAAGGAAAGGCAGCATTTAGATTATCAAACTTCAAGTTGGTTGTTTTTTGCATAAAAACTTTTAGAGTTTTCTTTTTTTCTTTTACTTTTACATTCAGTTACGAATATATTTAGAAAATAAACAGGATGGCTTTCAAGGAAAAGATCCTCTTTTCAGCTGACACGGGTTGCGTAATACACACAACTTGAACCTTCTGGAGAGCAATTTCGAGAAAAAAGTACGTAAAAGGTCCCATTGTTCAAAACCGATCGACCACCTTGTAATTGCGGCCGCGTTTCATCACGCGTGTGACGTGGATGACACCCACGAGAGCGAGGACACTTGCTGCAGCAATTACAATCATTAGACCGTTTGTCACGCGTGAGTTCCACCCTGAAATGCAAAAACACGTAGTTAATGATCATGCTGTTATTGCCACTTTGAATTAAAGGCCATTAAATCTCGCCTTTTTCCCCGAGGATTCAAACAGCAAACTGGCAGGGTATAAGAAGCTGAGCCGCCGAAAGTGAGTTTTTAGCCTACTGGTCACTCTGCGCAATGATACGCGTGTAAATGACCACTAGATCAGAGATTTTATCACGGACGTTAACCCTAGAATTTCATCTCGCGTCTCACTGTTAATTTTCGCTGTTAATTGGGGACTACACTCCTCTGTTCAAGTGTCTCGTATTACGAGGTGTAACTGAGGACAAGGAAAATTTAAAAAAACCGGCGAAGTCAATGACAACAGCGTTAACAAAGCTTTAATTGCAGCAGTTCTTAACACTTGCCTTTCTTTTCTTCGTCTTTTCCTTGTTCATCTTCCTCCAACTTAGACTGATCCCGTCGAGGTCCTTTCAGATCAATCACAGGTTCATCGTTTAAACTTTCCTCGTTTAAAGAAAAGGGCCCCTTTGAGATTAAATAGTTGGGGTCCTTATAGTCTAGGGCTCGCTTGGCTCGGTGCTCCGCTTCCTCTTCCTTTTTCAGCTTCTCCATGACGTCCCATGGCGGATTCACGTGCAGGCCTGGGACACACCCTTTGGAACAGCGTGAGTCGGAATCATTTGCTCTACAAACCACCACACTGCAGTGGAGGTATACGAAGGGGAAATCACCCACAAACTTGAAGGCTTCGACGCTGAAGCGTTTCTTCTGTCGAGAAGGTGAATCTTCCATCTTTACTGTATCATCGACCGGGCACCTGGGGTAGTAAGATTGGATTAGAACGTGGCACAGATTAGGACTGAAATATACGGCAAATAATTACATCGTCTCCTGAGAGCATCAAATGAAGAAAAAGTGAAGAAACAAAAGAGTTAGACGCCATGAAAGCTACAGAGATGGCGAAGCGCGGTTTACTAGAATACTTTGTCAGCGATAAAAGAATTTAAAGGGGAAACGACGAAACGAAAATATCGATCATTAACTGAATGGCGGTCGAACGGGTTAGATACCTCAATAAAAAAAGGAAAAAAAGTAATTATCGTTGATTTGCAATACTTCTCAGATAAACATTTCAATGAATTATAATAACTAAGAAATGCCGCCGAATGAATACATTACTGAATGAGTCTTATGCTCTACAGATACTGACGAAAATGTAATAGAGCACGGAACAAGCAACGGAAATTTTATTCTTTTATTCATTTTTTATTCATTTGATGTTTGAGCTGTTGTCAAACTGAACCTACCCTTCGTGAATAAGTTCATGCCTGAACCTGTCCACTTTTTTGTGGTCAGCGGTAGGTGTGGAACAGCAATTTCCCGCCATAATCTCGAGACTTTGGTCCAAAGTAGCAATGGACAATTCAAAGTACAATCGCTCACGGAATGGTACCTCCACTGGAAAGTCACTCCACGAATGAACGTCTTGGTAATCTTCGCCATGGTAGAAATCCATGCGGATTGAAAAACGGCCATACCTGTGGAAAGGGAAGTTAACCAATTAATTTTGGGACTGAAAGATAATACTTTTGCTGATTTTAACCCTCTGTTAAAACTCTCTCTAATTAGAATTTGGCGTTAAATCAAAATGGCACCTTCCAGCTGATAGAGTTCTCGATTTTTTTATCATCTCCCTGGTTATTAACGTACTGAAATTGGAAGGAAAAATTATACATAACCATTTATTGGAATCAAATGTTTAAGGAAGGAAATACTACTTCTATAGAATATTATCTTTGCTTTTTCAAAAATGCAGTGCAGCAGGATGCAGAAGTTTGGATCGCTCATTCTCTGGTCAGAGAAGAAAGAAAGTGCGAAATCGGCCCGAGAAACCGTTTCTACTTTTCTGTTAACTATCTTGCATAGCAACGAAAAAATCATTGCATCTGCTTTGATACTTCTCTCGTGGCCTCACCCTTCTTCCTCGATGTATAGCTGCTTTACCACTGGTTTGATTCCAACCGCTGAGGTGATACCGTTGTTCAAGTAATAACAGCAGAATGGGATGTCAAATTCATCCTCTCCAACCCGCGTAATGATGCTTCCAGGAGCAGCCTTCTTCTCCACGATTTTGTTGCTATAGACGATGAAGTCCATAGTACTGCGTCTCTTGGTGCCACACTTGTCCAATCCAGTCTTGAAGATGTAATGTGTGGGTGTCTCAATTACGGGACATGATGGGTCCAGGAGGCTAAGGAAGTCTCCTTGCAGGTCGCGCAAAGCTGTTTTAGGGACCGTGACCTCGATAGCATGTGTGCTGCAGTTTAGGAGCAGACCAGGAGCTGGAAAACAACAAAAGTTTGTGATAAGAATATAACTGTTCTGGATAGTCTTGTACAGAGCACTTGCATCCAGGGCCACCTTACGTTGCACACTTTATTGGTGGTAAAACAGTTTGCCTGATTTGCCTGGTGATATTTGTACCTGGTAACAGCCCACTTTCAGCCAACCCATTTTCTCTTCGACTCAGTGGCCCGGTTAAGTCACCAATTAAAATTGACAACTCATCAAATGAATTTGCGTGATAACCTCTTTGAGCGATATTTCCAGTTAAATTCCTTCTCTGTTAATTACGAGCTTTCCAAATCGAGATATCTCCACATTACACGCTATGGTTAACCATGAAAGCCTGGCAGATTCCCTATTTTTCTCTTGTCATCAGGCAAGTCTAGTCTGTAAACATAAAAAGGTCTTCTATTCATGAGTTGGTCTATCGGTATCTTAATTAGAATAGTATATTATTCTTTGGGTGTTTTGTACTGTCACTCAGAGCCCACGATCTTAGGTCCGAGCTTTCTCAAGCTTTTGTGGTCATCGCAACTAAATAGGCAGGTTTCCTGGTATCTGTATTCCCTACTCAGGGATACCAATACCCAAGGTGTGGCAGAGCGGTGTAGAGCATGGATTGGTTTGAACAGTCACCGGAGGGTGTGTCGACAGGGTCAACCTTCCCATTGATCTTCGAAGAACTTGACATCATTATCACATCACGATCACTCACTGCTCCCCGTCAAAGGGACCCTTCAGTGGAAATTTAAAGAGTTCTCAAAGAACAACTTGACACCAAAGGGAACACTCAGGCAACATTGTAACAACAGCTCTTAATCACTCACCTCTACAATTGAGTTTATCATCAGATAGAACCAGCGGATGAGGGCAGGTGCAGTGGAAACTACCCACATCATTCACACATTCATGACTGCAGCCTCCTTTATCGTATTCACATTCATTAATATCTAAAATTAAGTAAATAATTGATAAATGAATAGGTACAAATTTCTACCAAATGAATCAAGACATTTATATCAATGTTTGCTCTTATAAATTAGAAATATGACGTTTAAATTTTTTTCCCCCAGTTTTGATAGTATATAAACCATCTTCAGATAATAACTAAAGACAACGCCGACTTGCTTCTTCATAAAGTCACCACAGCACCTTACCTCCACAACGGATGGAACCAGTGGGTGGAGTCCAGATCCCCTCATTTCCACACTGCTGAAATGGGGGTGCCATTAATTTCATGCCGTTCGGACATGCCAAGTCACAAACGGTTCCGCGAGGGCTTGGCGCTTTTGTGCAACTCTCTTGCACAATTACACCTTGGCCAACCACGAGAGGACTACAGGAGCTACCTTCAGGAGAAAAACGTGGTGGAAATAACGGTTAGTCACTCAGTCAGCACGTTGAACACGCAGATATGACAAAAATAAAAAACAAAAAACTTTGATGAAGGCTTCCTAAATATTCAAAGTTCAAATTTTCTTTAAGCACCGCAGTTTCCGTTTACTTGTTGTTTCCGATACTTCCGGTATATAAAATCAATATTTTGTTCAGTTTTTAAGAATTTCCTTTCGTTTCTCCTTTTTTCATAGCTTCCGTTGCGCATCCTTGTACTGAACACATCTCGTCATGACGTAGTCAGATGGATGATTATAATTTAATGACCTTGCTCTTGATCGAATCAATCCTTTTTGAATCCAGTTACGGGTAATGTCCAATCGCGACTGGTTACTCTCGGATAGCGACTTCACGCATCACTACTTTTTGAATACCTACACGTCATTACTTCGAGTTAATAATGAGTTTAGTGTCAACAGAAGGATATGATTTTTTACGGTCGATTTAAACTCTTTTAACTAACAACACTGAAATGCAAACTAAACATCCCACGTAAGATTAAATTTTGCCAGTAGAAATTAAAGCACTTGTTTCAATCAGTTTTTCATATTTGAAGATTAAAGGTTTCCCGAAAGAAACCCGAAATTGTCGAACAAAAGATGCAGTCTTTCACTGATGTGTGATTTCTCTCAGCTCTGCGATAGAACTCCAAAATTTATCAGTGAAAAATCAGTCTTCATACAAGTTTGTTTTCCAATTTAATAAACTTTTTCTGGCTTGCATAAGACTTGATGTATTAACCATTACTAGCCAGGTTAGCGAAAAACCTTATTAGAAATTGTGCTTCGAGTTACTATCAGATATGTATGACAACCGCATCTTTCTTATTAGTTATTTCGGCAGAATTGAATATGAATGTCTCGATCAGCAATAGAACTGTTTGGTTTCCATTTTTTTAGCTTTTTTTTGTGGGAAGGTACCATCCGTTCGTGTGAGCTGACCTCATACCGACCAGAGCTGTCTTGTAGGCTGTTTTAGTTTTAGTAACTCAGTTATTGGCAAATTAATGCTCAATTGTATTTCTTTGAATCTATGAAGAGGGAGATTGCCTGATACAACAAAATCTGAAAATAACTCAACTAAGAACTATGGCTCAAATTTTATATACCGAAGAAGATATCAAGACCATATTAAAATGCAATTTATACATCTTTTCAAAATCAGAAAAAGTATTTATAATTTTTTTACAACTACTTTCAAACAAGATGATACTTTGTGCAGGAAACTCTCTAAACTGAGTGCAGCTTTGAGATGAAGTCAGTTTATGATTAATGCTTCTGCTCGTATGTTTGTAAAACTAAATTTCAAATTTCCGTTTGCACGCAAGTTCATGGCACGTTACTTTCCAAGGCGTTTTCAACTAAACTTACAAGCGAAGTTTATCGTTCTGCACGTCTACGAAGTTATACAATATAGAAATTTATTTACCTGGCTGGCCGACGTCAGGAACACCATTACTAAGGATAACGTCTGCTGCAGAAAAGAAAACAAGAGAAGCGAGGACAAGTGAAAGTCTCATGACTGAATTGAAAGGAAAACCCAGACCGTCTTTCTCTGCAATCTTCTTGGTGTGCAAACAAGGTCCTGTAAGAAATGTTGCAGTAGAAGAGATTTAACTTGGAGTGATTAACATCACAAAGCCTCCTACACACAAAAGTGAAAAACAAACTAAGGGATTAGCAATAATTGACACATTCCAGGGCGATCTTATTGTGCAAAGAGATGGAAAATTCCGCCAACTGTGCTTTATGCTTTTATGTCAGCCTGAGTCAACATCTTTCTTAAATAGAAGATTCCTGTGAAACTAACTTACAGCACTGTATCTGAACTGGACTATGGAGACCAAAGACCAAATTCTCAATTCGCTTTCGATGGATTGTTGAGCACGTGGCTGTCATGGAGACTAAAGCAGCCAGAAGACGAAAAGGGCGAGTTGTGGTTATAAACATCCTAAAGGGGATTTAAACTAGGCGTTATTCCTAAAAAGGTGGCTGAATTTTTCAAAATATATATAAAAAATGGGAAAATAGAACCACTGAGTGAAATTTCTAACAAACAGAAACTGGTCATACTTCACATTGCTTTAACTCTGAATGGCCGCCATGGACGTCGTAACACGTGTACGTGAAACCGAAATGCCAATCTGCTGGTCTATATCTAAGTGTTGCTTTACATCATCAGCTGATTAGAGGACCCCCCCAAAAAATGTAGTTAACAGAGGAAAGGCGAAGAGAACTTCAAACTCTCCCTAAATTTGTTTTCTGATAGAATACTCGTGTGCTTGCATGAGGAATGACTTCCTTGTTGCTGTGGTACTGCGCGACTGTCTGCTGTTTGAACTTAAAAAAAAAAAACAAGTCCCGTATTGTATTAATAATCGAAAAATCTTGACTGTAAATAATTTATCAGCAGAAGATTACTGCTCAGAGCCTAGGCAGCTCCCAATTGTTTTACGTATAAAATTATTTATTCAAGAAGTATCATTGTGTTTTAAGTCAAAAATGGGGAGGGGGACAAGGGGGCGGGAGCCCGGGAGAACAGGAGGCGGGAGAGGGCAGGAAGGGGGAGAACAGGGGGCAGGAAGCGGGATCTATGTGAGGGTGGGAAGCGGGAGCAAAAATGAAGAAGGTGATAGTTTGTTGTTTATTACTGGGTATTATTCAGTCAACAACACTTATCTAGAAAAATTTTCAAATTTCCGTTTAACATCCACCAATGCTTAAAAGAAAATTTTGGAAGCAAGAAAATGTAAATTTAAATTTTTGCTTCACTAGCACTTAAACTGAACGCTCAAAATGCAGAAAATTCAACAATTGATGTGCAGCGATTTAAATCATCATATGGAGTCAGCTTTTTTATTCACTCACAACTCGTTACGACCAATTACTTACGTCAAAAAGAGAAAGGAAGCACGGATAGAGGAGAAGCAAACTCTAAACGTTACGTCTGGCTCTTGATTTTTTAATTTGATTCTGAAATGGCATTCCTAAATGCATGGAAAAGCCTATATTAAATTGCAATAACTATAACATTACACAGTGGAATGAGACCTTCGTCTCTACAACGAGATGTCAGAAGCGATGGTCAAACTAGGTTAGCGAAACTTAGTTTAAGAAAACTGACCTGTAATAACTTTCGTCGGGTCCCAATGATCCCCAGCCAAAAGAAAGGCCAGAAAATGAACAAGAATGTTAAGTTTTGGCACAATTTGAAAGTTAAACCCGGGTTTCTGATCCTCTTGATTAACCTGAAGATGGAAGCAACATAATGAAGGGCGGGAGTCGGGAGGCAAAGGGGCACAAAAGTACGGGAGGCGGGAGAACGTGGTAGGGGAAACGGGAGACTCTGACTCCTGTCCCATCCCCCCCCCACACAAAAATTTGCGCCGATCAAAAATTTCCTGGTGCGTTGCCTGGTGCGTTGTAAAGGATGCAGTTTAGTCGGCTGCGTGCTTCTCCGTGGTTGTGTAAACATAGCACAAATTCTTCACGTTTTTCTCCAGCCTGGGTGAAGTGAAAAGTACCTTGTCGGATTGGCTGAAGCTTTTTTATTGGATAATACAACAGCTACAATAGGAATAAAGTCAAATGTGTTCCATTCTTCAGATTGTGCTATAAATTCACCGAGAAATTCTACTGGTGCTCAAAGACTACTACTTCACGTTTTGCACGAGAACCTTTATATTCCAGGTCAAAAGCACTTAAAGTTACTCATCTCACCCTCCATGACCTTTTCAAAATGGCTACCTGCACTTTTTGTGGCTTTATCAGTCTTAATAATTAACAGCACTTCTCAAGTTGAGAAGTGTGTGGCTGGTCGTAAAGACATGTTACAACAATTTTTCACCGAGAATGTTCCGAGCGGTTCTGTCGCTCATTAAAGCACTCGCTTGGCACCTTTAAAATTGAGGTGATTTAAAGCTCACCTTTAAAGCTGAAGTGATTCTTCGTGCGGGCTGAATCAATCTTCGAGAAAGATGAAGGTGATGGGATCATCAAGACATTAATAAAACATCTAAAAGTAACAGACTGAAAATGTTCCAATTGTGTTGTGAAGGAGTGGGCATGCAAATCAGATTACCGGGCCAAATGTTTTCAAGCATCAGATTCACCTCACCTACTTTTTTGTTCCTGTTCCTTTAAGATACTGAGCCAACCACTGGAACGAAAGTACCCTTTTTTTTCTGTACGTGGAAGTACAGTGAACCATTAGTGAACCACTAGTGAACCACTAGTGGACCACTAGGGAACCACTGTGCGAAAAAAAACGTTCGTTTCCTGAAATAGTAACCGAAATTGAAATATGCCATTTTTTTAAATGTTTAAAAGCGAGGTAGAGTATTGTCTATGTTCAGTGTTTGTATGAAACATCGGAAATATAAATTAACTTTAAAGTCAAGTCGCTGATTTAAACGGTTTCAATCAGCAATGATTCATATGTTGTCCGGTATTGTTGTCATATATCTAGGTAAAAGCCTGTGGATATGGCCACATGTTTATGCACTTTTAGGAGAGACTCTCACAAAATTGAAGAGTAGTGTTCCTCCTTTAATTTTTTCCACACGCTAACTAGTTCGTTGAGGACTTTAACAGACAGCCAACCGTCACCTTCTTCAAAGGAGTGTTCTTCTGTCATCTTTTGGACAGACACCCAAAGTGCTTCCTCTGTCAGCTTTGCGACGGGGGGAACACGCTTATTTCTGACTCTTTTTAGTGACTTCACGGCATCTAAGTGACAGTGCTTCCAATTCAGTTCAGCTTGTAGCGAGGCCCACTGACGTTTTTCTCTGTTTCCCGATGTTTTTGACATGTCTTTCACCTTTCGTTATACTAATGAGTTAAATCTTCGTGGAAATGTTCTTTTGAACATCATGTTTTGTATCTCGTCACACATTGTTGCCATGAGCAGAGAGACTTGCACTTCCTTAAGAGAGTCAACTCTTTTCTGGACCAAATCCAACTCACGGCTTTAGAGATCCACCTTCTCTTTCAATATCCGTTTTTGTGTTTCCAGTCCTTCAATTTTCCCTTCTAAAGCATTAATTTCAGCATGATTGCGTTCCTCATTTTCTCTTAGCTTGTCAATTTCATCCTTCAGCGCCTTGATTTCTCTCTCCCGGCTTTGAAGTCTGACTTAAAAAACACTGTTTCCTGCTGATCGATCACTTAGAAAACTTGCTTGAGCGGCTCTCTTATGTTGAGGGTTACTTGAAGAAGTGCTTGTCGACATTCTACTTATCCCGAAGAGTGAAAAGCTGAAGATGTGAAATAGTTTTTGTGTGGCTTACACGAAGTATACACCACGCAATGTCATGATCCAAGATGTTTGTTCCAGCTGGATTTGTCACGGTGAACAGAGCGCTTGTCACGTGGTTTACTACCGTCGAGGATATATTCCAGTCTGCGCTCGGCTAACTTACGTAAGCTTCAAAGCTTCAGAAAGCGGCCATTTCATATTTATGGGTGTAACACGTTGTCGTTTTTTTTATCTAGTTAATTCGTTCATCTTTGTTACTCTAATTTCACACGCCGGCTTTCCTACAGTCGGCTTGTCTTCTACGTGCGGATTACAGCGAGGAGTTGTGCTCTCACAGGCCAACATTTCACGGTCGCCAACATTTTACGGTCTGGACCTCTGGTGCAGGTTGCGCCTCATCAAAACTTAGGGGTCATTATTGACTCTCGCAAGCCAATATTCAAAGGCTTGAATCTGCTCAGCAGACCTGCTTGAGAATATCGGAGAATATCTGAATGTGTCTGAAAGTATTTGAAAGCCTCTGAAATTACTTGAAAGCAAAAGAGATTCTCCTGAAGTGCTTGTGTTTTCCTTGCTGTTGTTGCTGTTGAATTGAATTGGACGAACCATCCACACACAGTTGACAAGAGTCTGCTAACCCAAGATTTCGTCAGGAGAAAGTGATATGGGAATCTCTGTTGAACAATACCGATCAAAAAATCGGCTCTCATGAGAATTTCCGTAAAAGAAAAGATGCCTTGTCGCGTATTGTTTTTGGAACGTAATGCCAATGATGTTTTACATGAGCGTCTTTTAATTACCAACATTGAAACAAGCTGTTGGAAAGTACAAAATGTGGAACGAAGTATTGCTTTGGTTTGCCTAATCTGAAACTGCGCTTTGTCGTTAACATGAAAACCTAGGTGTTAAATGGCTATTGTGATTGATTGCAAACTTTGGGGAAGTAATACATTGAAACTCAGTAACAAAGTAGTTTCGTTTTTATCAAAATACGAATAGGAGCTTAGTTGTTTAATGTTACTACTGAAATGTGATTAGTATTATTTTTTCCAAGTAATGCCCAGAAATATTCAGACCTTAACATTTTTATGACTTACTGCGCACACCCTATGATCTCATAACATTTGTTGTTTGTGAAAAATTTACTTGTGCTTATTTAGAATACCAAAGTACACTTAAATTAATTTAGCTTAGACTTTGTTGAGTTTTTATGAAGACAATTCAGTAGAACTGACATTTGTTACGTTTATAGTTAGAGCCAATAGTTATAGCTAGAGTTTATAGTTAGATGTGGATTAGATAACCATCAGGCATCCTTGAGACCCAGGGTTCAAATCACGTCTGTAGACCC